TTTTATTCCTGTCTGTCTTGTTAAGAATTCTGAGTAAGGTGGATTTCGAGGTTCCTTCGTTGTATGGAATTACTACTGATGATTTAGATTCCTCATGTGTTGGTGCTCTCTTGCGCATGTCTGACTTGCATGTCGTCATTAATATTATTATTATTATTATCACTACTACTGCTATCATCATTTATTTTATTTTTACGTTTTCTTACATCTTTCTTGACTAATTTATCCGAGTAATTATTAAGTTTCAAGGTTTCTCTTATATGTCTCACTTCCTGTCTTAGATTTTCCTTGGTACTACTACTTAGTTTTTGTGCTCTACAGTCACTTAAACATTCCACCAGTGCTATTTTTACTGACATAGATTGTGTGGGATGATCGGAAGTCCAAATATCTGTTTGAATATGTCAGTGGGTTTCCTGTAAACACTACTACTTACTGTACAATGACACTCAGGGTTAAGGTCCAATTAAGACTCAGCTAGTCCCAAGAAGACGGGGTGTCAGCAGCTAAGTTTGTCAATTCTACTTCAAACCAATACTATACTACACTACCAAAAGGATTTAAATTTTATCAGTCTTTGTTTGTAGGGAAAATCAAGCAGGCTTTGGGCCAGGTAGATGGTGCATAGATCATATCTTCACTCTCTGACAGATCCTAGAACATAGACACACTTTTAGGCGTCCAACAATTGCCATATTTCTTGACTTGAAGGCGGCCTTCGACTCCGTGGATCGAAAGTACTATGGCAATGTTTGACTATGAAGAGAGTGCCAAAAAAGTACATTGAACTAATCAAGGCACTCTACTCAAACCTTGGTATAGTTTTATTCTGTGATGCGTCTTGGTCACTCCATATCGTGTCTGTTTCTAAGAGAATGCTCAGTCTTACCCTCTACATTACGAAGTTGAGACAGTCATGGGCAAAGTTCTGCAATAGAATCCCAAGGGATGCGAACGCACGAGTGACCTTGAGCCGACCAATCAGGAAAAATGCCGATTTTTGCATGAAATTTTACGTTTATTTACATAAGAAAACATAAAAAACATTAAACAGGATATTTTCCTCTAATATGAGATAAAAAATCTCCCAGTTTTGTAGAGGGGTTTCAGTTTTTAAATTGAACCAATTTCTATACATATATTCATCTAGGTAACTGAAAACAACTTCGTTTTGAGATCCGTTGATCGCTCTGATTCTATTTTTTAGTCTTCCCCAGAAGCCTTCGATTGAATTGGTATGAATACCGGTCCTGGGGTCGACGAAGGCATCGGAATGGTTGACTCGATGATGTATATAACCCAGTAGCGATAATCGGTTGTATCCTGCCCATTCATCTGTGTGAATGGTGGTGCCTGGTAAGACGAGACGCTGAATAATAGGGAGTGTATCAGCACTCCTATCTAGAATCAGCTCGATAAACCCTTTGCGAATCTGGGTGTCATAAATTCCTAAAACCCAAACGTTATTCGCTCTGGCACGCCCCCGATTGTACTTCTTCTAGATAAGAACAGTTTCATCGATATGGACGACTACACAGACTCCTCCCAACACCTGAGTAATACTATTCATCTTCCACGAGGCTAAATCTCGAAAAAATTGAAATCACTACTCAGTAGACGTCAAAGTATTAGCTGTTTGAGCCGCAGTAGATCGCACCCCGGACTTTAAAACCCAGTAATTGGACAGAAACAAGATATTCATCAAAGACAGTTTCTACTTTTCAAAGAAAGTTCCTAGAAGACAATTAATTCAGATGGTCACTTACCAGTACGCACACTTATTCGCGCTGGAATAATGTTAAGCTTCCTCAACCAATGACTAGCATGCGTTGAGGGTCATTGGAACATTTACAATCCTGGGACTCTACTCTTGTACTTCGCCCAGTCATGAATCATTTAACCTCTGCTTTTACAATTTGTCAACTCTTGCATCCTACCCATTACTTTTTAATGCTCTCCATCAGTCTTTCCTGGTCCCCTCAAAAATGACTACTTCATACTGCAAAGGATATTAAAGCTTTTTAGTACGGTAAGTTTGATATGTAGTCGCATGATGTGGCTGCCTTTGTTTTGCTAGTCTGATATATTTTACCACATGTTTATTGATCGCTATTGTATTATATCTTGTCTGTCCATTAACTAAATAACAATGTATGACCTTGGTCACGTGACATTGCAACCAATCAGAATCCAGTTGGTGGTATGAAAAACTACTATCTGTCTTATGATTGGTTGATGTGTGTGTGTTAGTTATTGTACAGTTTGATTCACACACTCGTACTCTTCTGTACTTTTCCACTCACACTCTTGTGTGACGGTTAAAATACGCGTATCCATTCGTGAACGTGGTGGTTGTCTGTCTTCTGATTTTCCTCTTTCGCGTCAGGACAAATTAACTACTACTCAGCGATACCAGTCTGTACACGTACGTTATCGTCCATTATATCTCAATTAGCGCATATTTACACTCGGTCACACCATAACATATTGGCGACGACACCATAACAAATATAGATAATCTTCCGTAAAAAGAGTAAGTTGGTCAGTGTACGAATTACACACACTGCCATCGATTAACCAAATCATTGAAAGAGCAGAAGTCTGCGAAGAGTTCTCCGTTGTCATTCAGATTTCACCCAGAGCCTCCCCCCCTCCCATGATAAGTTCTCCCCCGCCCCGGGGGTATTGTCTGCTATCAGTTTGACTTGCATTCAATATCTCCCATAAGAATTTTGTTCATTACTGTTTGCAGTTGTCTATAGAAATTTTCCTTCTTCCCTTGTTCTGCGTTGTTTGCAGGTGCATGGCGCATTGGATGATTGTAATCTTCCTTCCTTCTTTCTTTTTTTATGATTGAGTCCTGCTGGCATAATGCTGGAGGAGATTGGTTCCCATTGTATAAGAGAGATTTGTCTGCTGTTGGTAATATTAAGACAACAATCCAGTTAACAATCTGGAAAGTCTACATTCATTTATTAACCTGCCCTCACAGATTGCTGGCACAATCATGCCGTAACTTCTAATTTTCCTTCGGCAACCTTGACAGTCTCGCCTAGATTCGTACACTGTAGGAACATTTCATGTCCCATGCCTATCTATTTTGGCTTATACGTAGAGAGAGAGAGAAGACATAGATCGGTTAACTGGCTTTCACCAACACCACCCCTGGGCATCATTTCGTCCCTCCGATTCCAGTGAAGAAAATAAGTTTGCGTTTTATAATTTTCGTTGTGCTTGGAAGTTTCTCTGGATCGATTTTCCAGGGTATATTTGCTAGACCTACACAGCCAACCTACCCTGTTTTACAGGATTTCATCATCAGCTGACGTTGGTTAGAAAACCACTGAAATACCTATCAGGCAGTACTGCCAGACAGCTGTTTCTTCCGTCCTATTTTTTGGGGACCGGCTATTCATCAGTACGCATCCAACCCACTGACAGGTTTCGAACTCAGGACCACGTTCTGGGTGCAACGCCAGCGAGCTAGCCACCTCATAGACCATTAAGCCAAGCCACTGGGACCTGACCCGATCCAATGGTCAGTCAGCCAGTGTGCAGGAATTCTAACTTCGGCCAATTCACGGACGACATAGCGCGACTGGCACTAGCCAATGTCTTCGGTAGCGAGTACTTGTCCTAACATCCTCCGACCTGCTGCACCCTACTGGTCACGAGTTCTCACTAGAACCCACCCAGGTTACTTTCTACCTACCTGAATAGGGCAAGTCACCAGTGAGCATATCATCAAAATTCAAGTGTTAGTTTGTAGGGCGGATTTGATTGATTCGCTACAGGATTTCCTGGACTTAGGACAGTCAAGAAAACTAGATGAGGTTCCGTTTTCTTTACTATAACATTATTCTGTCAGTGATTACACTCTTTCCTTGCCATCACTAAATCAGTTGTGATTTGGCTCGTGTCTCTTCGTTACATAATACAAACGGACAAAGAGCATCTAGACAGAAATCATGTATTTGCAATTGATTCGATAAACAAAGCTTATGTTATCAGTCTTCCCCACTCGCCACTCTGTGACATTAGATATTAAAACTGTCATCCTATCCCATCCAGCCTATTGTATGGTTGTGTGTAACTGCATGCAGTGCTTGCGATAGCTGCCCAACTATTCCCTAGATTTCTTATCTTATTCGGGTCAACTAATCTAGATTTCGCTGCTAGGTTTTTATGTTCGGCTAGTCTGACTCACTGACTCTATTCTACTAGTTTGACCTAAGTATTTGATCTGACAATCATTGCAGCAGCAGGGTATAAGATAAACTAAATTGTTTTGTTTTAAAGGCTCCACTGGCAGGATTGATCCTTTAACCGACAAAGCTTGTTTCTAATTGAGTTTGTGGTTGATTTGTGTATTCCAGCCACTTTTATTCCTTCCTGTCAGCATTGTTAAGAATTCTGCGTCTCCGAGGTTTCCGAGGTTCCTTCCTTGTGTGAAATTACCACTGATGATTTAGATTCCTTATTGTTGGTGTCGTCATTAATATTATTATTATTATCACTATCACTACTATCATTATTTATTTTAATTTTTGCATTTCTCTACATACTTTCTGACTAATTTATCAGGATAATTATTAAGTTTCAAGGCTTCTCTTATATGTCTCACTTCCTGTCTTTGATTTTCCTTGGTACTACTACTTAGTTTTTGTGCTCTACAGTCACTTAAACATTTCACCAATCCTATTTGTACTGACATAGATTGTGTGGGATGATCGGAAGTCCAAATATCTGTTTGAATATGTCAGTGGGTTTCCAGTAAAAACACTACTACTTACTGTACAATGACTAATAGATACACTCAAGGTTTCACTGTCCAATTAAGACTTAACTAGTCACAAGTAGACGGGGTGGGGTGTCAGCAGCTAAGTTTGTCAATTGCACTTCAAGCCCATGCTATACTACACCAAAAGGATTAAAATTTTACCAGCACACTTCTGAAGGAAAAAAAGCAAAGCAAACAAATTGAAGAAATAACAACTTACTTGATAATACTGGATCTCTTCTCTCCACTTAACCGCTTGTTCTTCATGTTGACGTTTAAATGTGTATGCTTCTCTTGCCGCATTGTCCAATTTCTCTCTGAGTGTTGTACACTCACTTATAGTCTTCTCCAAGTCTTCAAAACAACCACTTTCAACCTGTGCATGACTTTGAATCTGCTCCAAACGTTCTTTTAGTTCAACATTTTCACTGTGATTGTTAGGAAAAGGCAAAACACATGCAATTATCAGGTCATCAATCAAGTTATTATCGCGTTATTAACAAGTCGTTGACATGCAATTGTTCCTGCTTCTGATTGGACGCTTCCACAATTCAAACTCTTAACCGGATTGGTTGATTTCCAGTCTACCTTATTTACTGTATAAATACAGGCAACTTTTGTCATAATAAATGAACCTGGTTTATACCGTTGATTCTCTTCGTGTTCTGCTTTACCAGTTAAGTGGGCACTGGTCAGTAGTTAAGCAGTGACTGCGTGACAAAGGATCCAGCATCATAACAGTGAGTGAGAGAAATAAACATACAGATGATAAGTAGTAGTGGGTGTTTTGTTTTGCTTTTGTTTTCTATGCATGTTTCGAATTCCAATAATTATTATGTGTAATGATTACAGGATTTTATGTCATGAGCTGGCTGGCATTGGTTGAAGAGAACCAGTGGAAAATCAACCAGGGAGTACTTACTGCCAGGCAGCTACCTGTTTCCCCGTCCTAGTTTACGACTCTTCGTCAGTATGCACCCACTCCACTACCAGGGTTCGAACGCAGGACCTTCTGGCGACAACAAGGTCATTAAGCCCTATTCAGGTAGGCAGTTGTTACCTGGGTGGGTTCTAGTGAAAAGTCGTGACCAGTAGGGTGCAGCAGCTTGGAGGGTGTGAGGACAAATACTCGCCACAGAAGACATTGGCTAGTACCAGTCGCGCTATGTCGTCCGTGAATTGTCAGAAGTTAGAATTCATGCACACTGGCTGACTGGCCATTGGATCGGGTCAGGTCCCAGTGGCTTGGCTTAATGGTCTACGAGGTGGCTAGCTTGCTGGCCTTGTACCCAGAATGTGGTCGTGAGTTCGAACCCTGTCAGTGAGTTGGGTGCGTACTGCTGAAAAGCCGGTCCCAAAGTAGTTGGACGAAGGAAACAGCTGGCTGTCCAGTACTCCCTGGTTGGTTTTTCCAATGGTTCTCTCTCTATAAAACCAATACTTGAAATTATGTAGTGAATTTGATTGTCAAATTTTGCTGTGCTGTCACCACATAGAGTGAGGCCAGGGTGGGGGGGTAACACAAGCTGCGAATCTGCACAGCTATCTGTAGACTTCAAAAGTAACTATGAAAAGGTAAATGAAGGTTGAAGAATAGAATTAAGGTTAACAGACAACTCGAACTATCATCTTGAAGTACATTTCCAACTGTGTCGAGAGCTGCCTGCGCTAGCCGAAAATTGGCAGACAGTAATTTACGTCAATGCTGTTTATGTCCCAAATATTATTGGTCATGAGAAAACAAGAACAAAGACTGACTGACTCAACAACCAATCACAGAACACTTTGTTTGCGTAGGCGGATACAATTAGCAGATGGATAGATGGTCTGACCTTCAAGAAACAGTCACAAAGAGAAACAACCAATCAGAAGGCTGTGTTTGCCTGCTAACAATAATCGATAATAATAATGTACATGAAAATCTATAAAAACGCGTTGATTTCCTTAATAAACGATCTCTTGCCTGACTCTTGCCTTGTGTCGTTACACTACAAAACAGCATCCGTACAATATGATTCTTTTAAAGTTGTAATAGACGAGAGTAATTGAATAGCAGCAGTTTGTCGGGGCAAAGGAAATGATTGGAAAAGAGAGTTAGAGGTGGAGAAACAACCATAACCTGAAATCTTTTACGGTTAGCTCGGGTGCTCACTTAGAGAGGGAGGTGTAGGTAGGCTGTGTGGCTGGGCTCCTCTAAGAACCAATTGACTGGGAGACTGACTGACTGGTGGAGATATGAGTCTAATTCCTTGTCAACAGCTGAAATGCATTGACTCCTCTTTGTATTCTTCTAAGTACCTCACAAAAGACTACACTCATCAAGTTGGAAAGTCTTGATATCAAAGGCAGATTACTAAACTGGCTCAGGGAATTCCTCATAGATGGGTTAGGATCAACTCGAAACTATCCTCTTAGACAGCAGTGCGGCGTAGCGGAGTGCCACAAGGCACGGTACTCGAACATCTCTCCTATTTATTTTGTATATCAATGAGTTATCTCTGCTCACCGACTACTCCCCTATGGTTCTATTCGCAGATGACTTGAAAATTTGGAGAGAGCCGAAGGGCAACAGTGATACGTCAACGTTGTAGGAGGACCTTAGAATGGATACTCCCGATCAATGTGGCCAAATGTGCAACCATGCGCATTGGACAAGCAAGCACCAGCTCCGACGAACTAGGAGGGAATAACACTTCCATCAGTTCAGACTCACTTGGATATAGGTGTCATAGTTAGCCACACGATTTAAAAGCTACAGCACACTGTCTCGCGATGGCTGCACGTAGTTTAAGGTCGTAATGGGCAATACGCAGAGCCTTCACTAGAATCACCAGAGATATGTTCACCTCCTTATATGCGCCTCTCTCTGGTGAGGTCAAGACTGGAAAACTGCATCCAGGCAGGCAGTCCTTGCCTTAAAGGAGGGACTCACACATTCTAGAAAGGGTTCAAAGGAAGGTAACACATATGGTTCACGGCATGACTAACTTATCATACGAAGAAAGGCTAGACAATTTAAATCTCTTCTCCCTGTCATACCGTAGGCAGAGAGGACATTTAATCACAATGTTTAAAATTTCAAATAATAATGACTACGAACCTGACCTAATCTCTCTTTTTCTTTCCACTAGGTGGTCGGACACACACCTTAGAGGAGAATAGCAGGAGAGTTCAAAAGCCGAGAAGAAATCATATTACTGTTGAATACTGGTTCTCACACCGAGTCATAAACTCTTGAAACCGACTGACTCCCAGAAGAATTGGTGGTATCTGCAACCTCAACTGATTCATCCATCATTCAAGAAGGGTTTGGACAACCACACAGAAATTTACTAGAAAAGGATTGACATAAGCTCCAAGCCTTCTATTTTCAACAAATAAATCTGAATGTTTTCCCGTATGACTCTTGTTTCTCCCATACATTTCCGCTCATTACAGTTTTTTTGTATGTCTTTTTTTCCTCTATCTTTATGTAGTCCGCTCTGTCCTCCTTTATGGCTGGCTGTGAGACCTGGCCACTGACAGCGGAAGACATGGAAAGATTAGCTACTTTCGATCATATGTGTATGCGTTCTATGTCCCACGTGAAGTGGTATAATAAGGTGAGCAATATTGAGGTTAGGCGTCGGTCGAGTGCTAGGTAAGGAGGGAGGGGAAATCAATAGATGAGGCTGTGAAATTACATCGACTGAGTGAGGTGGTTAGGACATGTGTTACGCATGCATTCCTAGTCATAGCATTCCTCGACTACGGGCAATGTTAGCTGACATAAGACTGGTCAGGCTGGAAAAGAGCTAGCAGCGGTCAAAACAAAACATGGCTTCACCAGTCAATGAAATCTACAACAGTTAGTCTAAGCCACGTAGGAGGGTGTAGACTGGCTTACTGACTGATTGGGGTCCTCAGGACGGTAAAAACCAATGAAGGCTGGAAACAATTGGTGATATGGCTCAAACGCATCGTTCTCCGTGATGGCTGGCGCAGATGCATCCACTCCTTGTGACTTATGATCTCCAATGAAACTGTTTTGTTCTTCGTTATTACTATTCCTTTGTCTCACCACACCTCTGTTTACTGTCTCTGTATTATGCATTTCTTCTACTTTCTTCTCTTGCTTTGTTTGCTACATGGAGTGGAGGGAGTGTGGCGACTTGAACTGGTGCAGATGGGTGCAAATTGGTTCTATGTCGAAAACCGACCGATCTTTATGTAGTACACAGGCTGCGGGGCAACTTGAACTGATGCCCTTCTGTGCAAAACTTTCATTTTAAATTGTAAAAACATAGTAGGCAGGCAAATATACATAGGAAAGAAAATCTAAGACAGATATACTAATTGTACGTAGAATAAATAGGGATTCAATGCTTCTCGAATGGTATCATCATAGGTACCACCGTAAAATAATATATCCTCCTTGAAGGAGGAACTTATTTTAAGATGTACAATGAATGTTCATTTCTTATTCATCAATAAGGAATATTACAGACAAATCGATGGTGTAGCAATGGGTTCCCCATTAGGTCCAATCCTAGCTGATTTTTTCCTCGCTAAGTTAGAGAGAGAATGGACCACTGAAAGGAGTAATTAATGACTTGGATTTCTACTGTCGATATATACGGATGATACATTTCTGGTAATGAACACCGACAATGATGCAATGAACATCCTTGACAAGTTTAATGATGCACATTCAGCAATAAACTTTACCATACAGAGAGAAAGAAAGAAAGTAATGACAGTATCTCACTCATTCCTAGACGTCTTTATGGCAAGGAAAGAAGATGGATGGATGGCACACTAAGAAGGAGTGTGTGTATAGGAAACCTACAACAACAGGTCAGTACACTCATTTTTTGAGTTTTGTACCTTTGAAACAAAACACGTAACCTGGTAAAGTGACTGGTTCATAGAGCTAAGTTAATCGGTACAGACGACTGCCTCAATGAGGAGCTTAAGATTATTAAAGAATTACTTAGAAAAAATGTCATGCAATCATAAGCGAGCCTTCGCCTTTATCTTTTAATATTTGCATGGCTCAGTGCATATAGGAATGTACAGCGGACAAATAGGGGCATATAAGCGTACAAGTCGATTTCACTGCCCCGTTATAAGAATTAGCAGGCGTAGAAATAATAACAAAATGGCGACGGATTTTTTTGAGTTCAGTGCAGTTATAACATGGCAGTACAAGGAGTGAATGGTGAGTCGGTGGCATAGCGGTTAGGACGCTCGCCGACCATGCACATGGTTCGGGGTTCGATACCCGGTCGACGCACTCCTTTACAAAATAAACACTGCTACAGAAACTTCAAGCCACTAGCTTGAAGCCCTATGTTCTACTGGGGAACGTGAAGGAAAAAATATAATACATATACAAGGAGTGAATACAACTGAGCCAATGTGAAAGTAACTTCCAGCCATGTGTCACCGACAATTGGACACATATTAAAACACACACAGTCTACAGTCTAAGTCTTCAAATATAGATCGGTGCCAAATTTTTTCTCTGGCTTCTCTGACTTAACTCCTCGTTAACGCGATCTTACTTACTTATATCAGCAAATATTATTCGTCAAGGAAGCCGATTCCTCAGCGTGTGTGTAACATACACATACATACCTAATGGTCCATATGTGAAGCACATCACTTTAGTCTCCATTATGGATAAGATTTCCTGTTTTGATAAACTGTCACTCACAGTGTCTGTGTAATGTTATACAGTAAGTAATATTAACTGATGCGACCACACACTTCGAGCACAATTTATTATTGCCAATCATAATCATCATATCGAGTCACTCACTCACCCACACACTCACACAACTTTCGTCTTTCTTCATTTATATACATGAGTGGAATTCATGATTAGATATTTGAATACAAATCAGTAATATGGGATAATGTACATTCAGAAATAATAATGATAATAATAATATGAGTGTTATTGATCAATTACAACAATCAGATGGGAAATAAGACGAGTGTTTCTTCTATAGTCATAATAAGTGAGTGACTTGTTAGAATGTTGTGATGATGTACGTGAATTGAATTGAAATAGAATACAGGTTGAGATTATTTATTATCCTCCTCTGATTTCACTGACTGACTGGCGGTAATAATATCTTTCATACATATCTCTGGCATTTGCATTGAGTCATTTCTGTTGCATGTGTTGTGTTGGGTGTAGACTCAATGAACCAGTCAGGATTCAGTAAGTAACCAATCTCTCTCTCTCTCCACCTACATAGATTACTTCTTAGAATCTTAACCCTCTCCCACCATGCTATTGTGTGGTTGTGTGTTAATGCATGCAGTGCAGTGCAATGTAGTGGTGAGCTTTTTTCAAAATTACTTGTCTTCTTGGGTGGGGTCAACCATTCTAACCTTAGCTAAATTCTTATGTTCCAAAAATCTGATTACACCCGATCTACTAGTCTGTTTCACCTATATAGTTGACCTTACTCACAGTCATTGCAAGGTATTTCATAAATGATATTATTTTATCTAATTGGGTCAACCGACAGGGTCTGTTAGCCAACAGATCTTGTCCTACCTGAGTGAGTCAGTTTGAAGGATTCAATGCCACAGAACGAGATGCAATAGATACACATATAACACACAGGTTGCTGTGGTGTTTTACATGCAGCTTATGTATATAAAACTGGAGATGTCCAGCTGCACCCTCCTCCTCCTCCACTTCCTAAACCGTTATGACTGACCATATAAATACTCACACACGCAAACACACACATGCAACGGGGAAGACAAATCACGATGAAGATAAATAAATAACAGGCTTTCGACTAGCTAACTTACTTAGTGAGATTTTCCAATTCCTGTGCCTGATCCGACAGTTTGATCTCATTTTTGCTAATTTGAATCTAAGAAGAAATGAGACAGAGAGAGAGAAAGAGAGAGTGAGTAGTATTCAGTCATGAAGACACATAAATTAGCAGATTGATAATGGCATAGAAACAATTACCTAAATTTTCGGAAATACGATGATGAACCTGCCTACCTAATTGTACGCCACCTGATGTAGCTGGCTGGCTCCGCAGCTGCAGTCAAACTCTTAGATACACATAGAGGCGGAGGCAAATTTAGGTAGTTTATCCTTATTTCTCGAACGTAGAATAGGGGTGGTTGTGAAGAGACAACCTACCTCTCACTGCTGCATAATAAGCTCTTTTAACTGCATTCTTCAGGTGCTCGCTGTGTTACTATTTCACTGGTGTTGTCACCGAGGAATCAACCTGTGCAAACACTTATTCCTTAATTGCTCTTCAATTTTTCCAAAATTATGCATTATGCAATCCACGTGTTGGGCGTCGGTGGCATAGCGGTAAGGAAGCTCGCCGACCATGCACATGGTCCGGGGTTCGATCCCCGGCCGGCGCACCCCTTTACCTCGCTAAGCCAGAACTAAAAAGATGGTGAAGAGGAAAGGTTAGGCATGAGGCTTGCAACCCCATCCTGTAGTAATAAACACTGTTACAGAATCTTCAAGCCTCTAGCTTGAAGCCCTATGTTCCACTGGGAACGTTAAGAAATAAAAAAAATCCACGCGTTGTAACCATTTATACCTTTCTGATTGTGTGTGTGTGTGCATTGATTTTCTTCGTTAATTATCACCCTTTGCCTACTTGACATGTTGACACTGACTGACTAATTATTGTCAACAAACAAACAAACATATCAGTGCCACTTGATGATTGGTAAATTGTTTGTTGTGTATTGTAATAAAAATGCGTGTATACGTGTCTATTGATTGATTAGAGTAGAGCCAGAGAGAATGAGATGAGGGGGGATCTAATTGAAAAGGTAAATATTTCTTCGCTGCTCAATCTTTCTGTTTTGCAATTTTAATTATGACTTGTCTACTATCTAAAATTCTGAAAGTGTCTAAAACACTCCTCGTTTCATGAGGTTGGATTGACTTTTTTTTAAATTTTCATCCAAGCTTAGTAGTAGTAACACAAATATCATAATGAACACAATGTAAAAGGCTAAAGTGGAAAGAAATATGTAGGGCAGATGAACGTTTTTATAAAATTTTCAAAAGAATGGATTGATGCTGAACAAAGAATAAATACTCTTTTCGATAACCCCTTCATCATCATCATCATCATCATCATCAGGCTCTACAGTTACATATCCATCCATTATAGTGAATGAAGGAATGAATGAATGAATTAGTGTTATGAACAACAACATGAATGTTGCTGTTTACATAACATCGAATCAATAATAATAATACTAATAATAATAATAATACCAGTGGATTACAGTTCAATAGCATCAACATAACAATATACACTGAATGCCAGTTAAATTGGGAAAGATAATATTACAAATTCATGAATTTATAGTCTCTACTGAAAGCCAGTCAGCTAGGGCAGTAGCAGAGGCTGGCTGGCTGGACTTGCTTCTTCTCCACACAAAGCACTGGTTGTTTGAGGTGAATTGCATTGAGCCTCTGCTATTTGGAGCATCCGGTTCTTCGATGATGTTTTTGTCAATTTATGTGGCACCCGGTGGATGATGATAGAGAAGGATTCTTCCACTCTGGTTCGCTGGCTGGCTGGCTTTGTGGCCGGCAGGCCGGTTTGCATCCTATGGTCCAATATCGAACTGTCTGTAATTGGTTTTCACTACACGTTTACTCTTAGCCATAGTGGGAGATGTTCTCGAGCACGAGTAAGTCCAGCCCTCACTACTGCGCTGGGTAGTCTTCAGTAGAGACTATAAATTCATGAATTTGTAATATTATCTTCCCTAATTTTTCTGACATTCAGTTTATTCTTATGTTGATGCTATTGAACTGTAATCCATTTGTATTTGCAATTAATAGTGTTCTCTGAGCTGGTTGGTTTAGTTGCGAAGCTTTCGTCGTCCTTCCGGACAACATCTTCAGCGCCATATTTAGCACAAAGTGAAATGATTTAAATATTCCACGAGTAATAGAATTGCGTCTCCCGGTAACCATCTTCATGACATCTACATTGATCATTTTCTATTTACTTGGATTTTAAACTTTCTCACCACATGATTTGCTTTTTATTAGTTGGTAGATTTGGTCTATTTTGACGTGTTTGTTAATTGCATATTCTAGGAATTCCCTGGCACTTTTAGTTTCCTCTGTCTAAAATTTCGACATGATCCCAATCAAATTGACGACCATAATTGTCTATATGCATTGATACTAAAGAATACATATCGTGTCTTTTCACGGTTGATTTGTGTTCTTGGATTCTGATAGAAAGTGGATAGTTACCAGGAGACGCAATTATATCACCACTCATGAAGAAATTTGAATCATTTCACTTTATGCTAAATATGGCGCTGAAGATGTTGTCCAGCAGGGGGGACGACGAAAGCTTCGCAACTAAACCATCAACCAGCTCCTCAGAGAACACTATTAAATGCAAATCATCCACCTGAGCTACAAATCTCCTCTATTATCTATTTGTATTATTATTATTATCACTATTTTTATTGATTCGATGTAGTAGTTACTAGGCGACAGGCACACACACATTCCCACTCAAAAGCATATTTTAACTACTTGATACTTAATCCCTACTGATGAACCCATATCACTTGATTCAAATAGTAGTAAAATGTTTACCAGCCAGCCATGTGGATGATGTTCTCGATTCAATCTCGGGTTGAGTCACACTCCTACACACGCTTCACATCTAGAGTGACTTTACTAGACGAAAGTGGACTATAAAAGAAAAATAATGGGAGGGTTTGAGTGTGAGACTAACAATTCCTCTACACACTGATGAAAACAACGTCACTGCCTCCAAAGCCTCAGGATGGTCGAGGGTGGGTACCTTGCGCTGCGGGTTGGCCACCCCTCCACACACCTCTTCAAATGCTCCCATATGACCGGGCGTCTTACATAGCCTCTCCTGAGGAAGTCCTACTCACTGCCTTCACGTGGCGGAGGTGTTTTTCACCAAAGTGAGAGGGCGAAAGCGGATGCCCGGCGCTCTTCACCGGGTTGACTGTCCATTGGATGACAGTCTAGGGGAGAAGGCTAAACCCTGATTCCAAACCTCCAACGACTGGCGTATGAAGCTCACTGGAGCTCACCGGCAGACGCATGGACAAAGGGCTTGTTGAATGTCCTGGATGTCTGGCCCTATTCAAAAAGGCGTGTATGAACCGAACTCCGGTCACCGGCTTCCAATGGATAGTGGACTCCCTACTCCACTGCTGCTGCCTTGTAGGTCACACTTGCTTGTGTAAAGGCTAGAGCTGCACTCTCAAACAAAAGGCCGAGCGATTCTGAGGACATCACTCGTACCAAATTCCCATGAAACTTCATGAACTCTCTTACAAACGACTCTCACTGTAGACCAGTGGTACCTCAGGTACATTCTGCATGTTCGTTGGGAGGACAAATTCTCCAACGAAGAAGTGCGTCGTCGTTGCTACAATATCAACCAAATTCCAGTACCGGTCCAACAACGTCACCTTCGGTGGTTTAGCCATGTTCTGCGCCGACCAGATGACGATCTGGTCAAATCAGTTCTAAATCCCTCGCCATTACCACCTTGGCGATGTCGCAGGGGTGGACAGCTGAAAACATGGCTTGGTACAGTCAAGGCTGATATGGAGTGCCTGGGGATACAAACCGTCTACGGACTCCGTCTGTGGAAATAGAATTGGATAACCCTGTCGCAAAACCTTGCATCAGATCGCCGCGCCTGGGCAGCGATGATTCGAGATGTTCATGAAGCCGGCTCATCCTCCCGTAGGAGATAGCCGAAGTAAAGTAAAAGTAAAGTAAGCTCTAATGGATCTTCAAAGCTTGAATACCATGTGTTGTTTCATCATTTGGAACACAAGATCGCACTCAACCGCGCAACGTCGTGTTGTTAAAGGATGTAAAAAAACAGAATGCAGCCGCCGCAATAATCAACATTAACATATTTGAGAAAAGGCAGTTTTTTTTTAAAGTTACCTTGAGAATTTCCAACTGTTCATCTTGACTATCGATCAATTTCGCTTGTTTTGTACAGTTCGCTGGTAGATTATAAAAAAAATTCACACACATGTATATAAGCAGTGTACTTTATTCAAAAATTCAGCAAAAGTAAGATTATATGTTATGTATTGAGTGGAAAACACACTGGATATTTTACAATGACAAAATCGAATATACAGATGTTCAATCGAACTAAGGTGTAGAATACACACACAGATCCTTCCTCCCCCTACTTTTTCTTCAAATGGCTTGGTAGATTACAGTTAATGGTCGGTGGATATCAGTCTTTTCCTCAAAATGCTTTCATCGCCTCGTTCGGAAAAGTCCTGAGGAATTCTCTTAAAGAAGTAAACGGGTGAGTACGAATCCTCGACGATCAGTAAAAGACTAGTGGACATGAAGTGACCCCCTTGAGGAGTTGGAAAGCACTGATACCCGCAGAAAATATGTTGTATATGCACAGCAAGATCTGAAAGCAACGAATGGCATATATGGACTTTTTTTGGTCACCGATGGCCAAAGAAGGAACTCAGTTATATCAACGTTGATCTGCTGTCTTGTTGAACAGACTTCAAGCCAAAGGCTCGAGGAGTGTCCCCCCCTCCCCGCCGAAAGATAACCACAGGCTCCAGCCTGGGCATCCGAGAATTGTCTATCTCAACACTTAGGTGAACGATGAATTAGTAAGAACAAAAATACTCAACAATTCAACCGCTGCGCTATCGCAAACAACTACTCTATTCGCAAAAAAAATCATTTGATTCGTTACCACTATACTTTTGCAACGACAGAAGACAAGAGCCAGTCAAGAGATCGTTTATTTAGGAAATCGACACATATTTATGGATTTTCATGTACATTATTATCGATTATTGTTAGCAAACAAACACAGTCTTCTGATTGGTGGTTGTTCCTCTTTGTGACTGTTTCTTGAAGGTCAGATCATCTGCTATCTGCTATTTGTATCCACCTACGCAAACAAAGTGTTCTGTGATTGGTTGTTGGTCGAGTCAGTCAGTCTTTGTTCTTGTTTTCTCATGACCAATTATATTTGGGACATCAACATTGATGTAAATTACTGTCTACCAATTTCGGCTAGCAGACAGCTCTCACCACACTTCTACTATGATTTACAAAATATCCTCTTTTTAATCATCGCCTCAAAGGTCCTTAGTAGGCTTACTTTCGTTATCTGTCCGTTATTTCTTGGAATCTGAATCCGTTTATATAGTTTTAAGTTTATTTTATGATATTAGAAACACAAAAATGGTACACACAGTATGAGCATTGGTAAATGCACTCACTGCACAACAACAATTAAAACAAAAATATAAGGACAAATGAAGTAGAATATATGAGCGATAGCGTCATGAAAACAACAAGTCAGTATATTTATCACGAGCGTCCACAAAGACTAGTTAGTACTTTGTGTCGTTTTCAAGAAGATTAGAGGGGGGCAATCCTCATTTAAGCACTGCTCTAGTGGAGACCGTTCCAGTGGTATTGTGATGAGAGCCGGCTAATAGCCATATTGGTAAACAGTAATTCACGTCAATGTTCTTGATGTCCAAAATATTGGTCATGAGAAAACAAGACCAAAGACTGACTGACTCAACCAACAACCAATCACAGAACACTTTGTTTGCGTAGGTGGATACAATTAGCAGATAGATAGATAGATGATCTGACCTTCAAGAAACAGTCACAAAGAGATGAGAAACAACCAATCAGAGGACTGTGTTTGTCTGCTAACAATAATCGATAATAATGTATGTACATGAAAACCTATAAATATGTGTTGGATTTCCTTAATAAAAGATCTGTTGCCTGACCTTGTCTTCTGTTGTTACATATAAATGCTATTTTTCCTGACCTTTCTCAATAAGTCGGAAATGCACTATAATATTTTATTTAATATTTATTTATTTTATAAAAAAATATTTATTTATTTATTAACATATTCTTACCATACTGAGTGCCTAATGCCTCTTCTTTAATCTCCAAATCAGTACGCAATCGTTGTACTTCAGCATTCAATTGTTCGACTTGCTTTCTGCGTATGTTTAGATTTGAAAAGAAAAGAAAATTAAATGTATCGGTGAGCTAAACTGTTTCATTGATCACATTGTTGGATCATAAAATTGGCATCAATTTGGAGAACCATTGAAAATCATGGAATACTCAGTAGACAGAGAGGGAGTTTTAATTGTTACCGGTATTTATTTATTTATTGATTATTCCCTCAACTGGCACATAGGGCAGCATGCACAACTCCACTTCCCTCAGTTCTCCTATAATCCTCTTTAAATCACGGAATATACACATTTCATCATAGGGAATAATAAAAAGACAGTTGTGACGAAGAAAAGTTTCTTTTCGAGTGATCAGATTAACTGAAATAAATGTGCTCATTCACAGACTGCTTCAAATAAAACTTGCGTTTGTGTCGGTTAGATAACTCCACACTAGGACAGAAAAGATTTCTACTGCACTTCCGTTTCCAATGTCTTTTTTGACTGGTATCGTGACGGTTCGTTTTTACTCTGCTTCAAATCACCGAAAATACCCATTGAGTCATGAAGAAAATAAAAGACAAATTCAGCGAAGTAAATTTTCTTTATCGACGAAATCATTTTCACCGGCTGGCTGTACAGTCGTATTTATGCTTAACTAGCTCAATGCTCGAGCATTTGCTGAATTCAGGCCACGTAACTCCACCAGAGTCGTCTTTCAAGATCATCTACAAAGTGAAGCTAAATGGTACAAAGGGCGACAGGTTTCGGCTTTTGTGTATGGGGTGGAGGCGCTGGCAATTCGTCAATACAATCCCGAACTCTGTATACAGAAAACGTTTGTTCAGTCTCTTAATCTACCTTGATGTTAACCTCTTCACTAGTTGTTCCCTGCAAACGATTTTATTTTTTATTTTTAATCTTACTTTTAGTTTGCTTTTGCTTTAATAATCAATTCACTATTATCACTCTCATATTTTCCCTGTTGTACATTTTCACACCCTCTTCACACTTGTTCAATTGACACTCAACTACCACCTTTATTCTCTCTCACTCACTCAATAGCAATTTTAACCATCCTTATCAAATTTCTATCTTTTTGCCGTTGAGTACCACGTAACTTTCAACTTCTAATTTTCACTTCTAAAGCCACTTCTGAGTAATTACATCAATTATGTCACCCCCACCCCTATTACTCAATATTAGACCACTACATATTTTTTGTAAGTATAAATACGACTGTACAACCTCTGAAGATGATTTCATCGATAAAGAAAGTTTCCGCTGAATTCGTCTTTTATTTTCTTCAGGGTTCGATTTTCAAGCGGTTTAACGTAGAATCTATGAAATGAGAGCAAGCACCTATCCCACTTAAAGGATAACCAAGAATTAACCTGATATATATATATATATATATATAGAGAGAGAGAGAGAGAGAGAAAATATAATTTAAAATATACTGAAATTTTTGCTGTCCAATACACCAAGAGAGAGTGTTACTCACAATAGTGATGCTTCTGTTTGTTTATATCCTTTCTGTTCTGAACGTAACTTTTTAATTAAATTGTTCGCTTTCAATTGATCTGCCGCTAATTTATGACCTTCTTTCAATAGGTTTTCAATCTCTTCATTTTTCTCCACAACTAGACGATCCAATTCATTGAGACGTTTTCTATTATTGATTAACAGAAAAGAAAAAAAAAGAATTATGAAAAGATGCATCCAGTTTGTACATTAACAATAAATAAAATTCTACATAGATTACGGGATTGATCCTTCACGAAAAATACCTATTTATTCATAAGTAAAAACACAGTTTTTTTGTTCAGCGAAGAAATTTCTTTTCAACGACTTCATTTTCAAGCTGTACAGTCGTATTTATATTACAGAAAAAAGGTTATTAATTGGCATTAAATAATTGCTCAGTCAATATACATATATAAGTGATAAGAATAACGATAATTAAAATGTTATGAGGGGTAGAATTGAAGTGGATAAATTAGAAAATTATTAAAGATTGTTTTATAAGTGAATTGAAAACAAAAATGTTTTAAAAATGTCAAGTGTTGTCTAAAAATTTTAAAAAATTAGGAGTACGATTACGATAAGAATGAAGATGTGATGGGAAGTGGAAAGAATTCAAGTGGTAAAATAAAATAAAGTAAAAACTAGAAGGAACATTACTATGACCAAGGTAAAGAAAGGGGTTTGACAAAACGTTTTTGAACACATAATTTAGGTTTCTGTTCATGTATAGCTAAAGCTTCGACTATGCATAAGTGAAGAAAACGTGAACTTTTGAATCGATTCGACTTTGCCATGTAGATAACTTTGAAAGACGAATCACGTGGGGCTAAATGACCTGACTCTAACAGGTGATCACAGATAGACGACTTCGCAGTTCTACGTTCTCCTTTCATTAACCAGACTAGATAGTGTTCAGCTACACGTTTCCGGAGATTACGCTTACAACGTCCAATATAAACAGCTCCACAAGAGCAGGTAAAAGAGTGAATACACATGGATGTGGACAAAAGCGGTAATCTATCCTTGACGCATTGTCTAATCATATTTCGGCTGGTAAAAACTAGTTGTAAGTCAGCTGCAGGAAAAGTACGTTTAATACATTTAGATAAACGATTTTTAATCAATTCCGAAATGGTGTCACCTTTGACTCATGCCAGACTCCTAAACAGTTTCTTCTTTGGCACTGTAATTTGCCTAGGGGCGTGTTCTTTCTTGATGTTACGTTCGATGAACCTTGTAGGATAACCATTATTAAGGAGATTTGATCGAAGGTTATCTAGTTCACTATCGATTGTCTCTGCAGAGCAGATTTTACGAATTCTGGAGCATAAGGAATGAATAAGATTTCTCTTTCTCCCTAACGGTCCTTCAACCGACAAAGCTTGTTTCTAATTGATTTTGTGGTTGGTTTGAATTCCAGCAGCCACTTTCATTCCTTCTTGCCAGCATTGTTAAGAATTCTGCGTAGGGTGGGTGGTTTCTGAGGTTCCTTCGTTGTATGGAATTACTACCGATGATTTAGATTCCTTATTGTTGGTGTTATCATTATCCTGAGCATGTTGGACATGCATGTCGTTATTATTATTATTATCACTACCACTACTATCATTATTTATTTTATTTTTACATTTCCCTACATGTTTCTTGACTAATTTATCAGGATAATTATTAAGTTTCAAGGCTTCTCTTATATGTCTCACTTCCTGTCTTAGATTTTCCTTGGCACTAATACTTAGATTTTCTGCTCTGTTGTCACTTAAACATTTCACCAATCCTATTTTCCCTGACATAGGATAGGATGATTGGAAGTCCAAATATCTGTTTGAATGTATGAGTTTCCTGTAAACACACACACTAGCGTGTTGAACTTCCCATCTTCTTTCTTTCCTTTTTACACCACAATCCAACACTGGAAGCTCCCCCGCTTCCTGACTTTCCAATTCATCATAAGTGAATTGAATTGCCTCCACCTTTGAGTTATAATGTGTTCGAAAAATCTATCTATATCCTTCCTGTGTTCTAAGTAAAGTGAATGTGTCATTTGCATACCTCCACCATACCATTGTTTTTTTTGGGGGGGAGGGAAGGAGTGAACCCACTAAATAATACTGTTTCACTGTGTGATATGTCTAATAAACAAACTCATATGTAAACCAAGAAGGTATTTTGGACTTGGGTACATGCAGAATAATGAGAAGCAAGAAGAAAGATAATGCTTAAGAATATCATGGGGGACTGGACAGCTGTTTCATTCGAGTTTGACACTCTTTTCTGTAGTAGGCAAATACAGAACTCAAAAATTTTATATTTCCGGGGGGGGGTATATTGTTTAGGAGGCTATTCAAATTCTACACCCCAATAAACTTTACAAAAAAGGTAAATTAAGGATTCATCCATTCTCACACGACTGACTTTATTTGGATTTGACCTCTCCACTGGAAATGCCTCCAAAGCCTCGGGATGGTCGGGGGTGGGTGCCTTGCGCTGCAGGTTGGCCACCCCTCCAAACACCTCTTCAAATGCTCCCATATGACCGGGCGTCTTACATAGCCTCTCCTGGGGAAGTCCTACTCACTGCCTTCACGTGGCGGAGGTGTTTTTCATCAAAGTGAGAGGGCGAAAGAGGATGCCTGGCGCTCTTCACCGGGTTGACTGTCCATTGGATGACAGTCTAGGGGAGATGGCTAAACCCTGATTCCAAACCTCCAACGACTGGCGTCTGAAGCTCACTGCAGGTCACCGGCAGACGTATGGACAAAGGGCTTGTTGGATGTCCTGGATGTCTGACCCCATTCAAAAAGGCGTATGAACCGAACTCCGATCACCGGCTGCCAATGGATAGTGGACTCCCTACTCCACTCCTACTGCCTTGTAGGTCACACTTGGTTGTGTAAAGGCTACAGCTGCACTCTCAAACAAAAGGCCGAGCGATTCTGGGGACATCACTCGTACCAAATTCCCATGAAACTTCATGAACTCTCCTACGAGATGTTCATGAAGCCGGCTCATCCTCCCGTAGGAGCTAGCCGAAGTCAAGTAAGTACTGGAAATGCTTCAGTGGAATGAAAGTAATTGTTAATGAAGGTCACACTAACAAGAATTACAGAATTTCAAATATTTTAGGCGACAGTATGAGGATGTTTGGGATATGAAAATCATAAACCACCACAGTGTTCATAACTGATTTACATCAACCTACAGATCAGAAATATATCGGGAGAAGATTTAACAAAATGCATCAAATATTTACTTCACATGGAATGCTGCATCACAAATAAAAAAGAGTTGATAACTGACAACATTCCAACACACATATACAGAGAACTATCTTGTTTAGACAAGACGCAGGTTGTGAAAATAACCAACCAACAACAACAACAAGAGCAGCAACATCCATCAGCGCCAATCACCATCAACAGGAGAGATTTGAAAGAGGTTACTTCATTCACTTATCTAGGGAGCATTGTCTCAACTACACGAGGAACGGACGAGGATGTCAAATCGAGAATCGGAATGGCGAGAAACACATTCATCAACCTGAAACCAATCTGGAAATCTTCGTCACTCAGCAACACTCAACAACAAAATTCGGATTTTCAATACAAACGTCAAGTCAGTCAGTTCTTCTATACGTACGGATCAGAAAATTGGCGGGTAACAGAGAATATTTCCAACAGGTCGCAGACCATCATTAACAACAACTGTCTTCGTTCTATACTGAAGATCAGATGGCCGGAAAGAATAAGAACCAACAAGAAACTATGGGAACAAACAAACGAAACAGGAACCAATCGCCCAACAAATATGCAGGAGAAAGTGGAGATGGATTGGACACTCGCTGAGGAGGTTGTTGGGTGACATGGCGCGTCAGGCCATGGCTGGAGTGGAAGCCGATAGGGAAGCGGTGAGTGGGACTTCCAAGGGTGACATGGAGGAGATCGCGTGAAGAGTAGTTGAAACAGTATGGACTAACATGGATGCAGGTGAAAAAGACAGCAGATGACAGAAACAAGTGGAGGCGTGCAGTTGAACCCCTATGTTCTACTAGGAACCCAAGGGAACAATAATAATAATAATATAAATCTTGTTTAGAAAAAAGCAACTTAAACACTAAAGGCGAGGATTAAGTTGGCTGTTGCATGGTCAAAAGCAACTTCTATGCTAGCTGTACATAATTCTAGTGTGGTGAGAGCTGTCTGCGCTAGCCAAAATTGGTAGACAGTAATTTACGTCACTGTTGTTTATGTCCCAAATATTGGTCATGAGAAAAGAAGAACAAGAAAAAAGACTGACTGACTCAACAACAACCAATCACAGCATACTTTGTTTGCGTAGGCGGATACAATTAGCCGATAGATAGATGATCTGACCTTCATGAAACAGTCACAAAGAGAAACAGCCAATCAGAAGACTGTGTTTGTCTGCTAACAATAATCTATAATATTAATGTACATGAAAATCTAAAAATTATATGATGTGTTGATTTCCTTAATAATCGATCTGTTGCCTGGCCCTCGTTGCCTTCTGTTGTTACACTAGAACCCACGTTACACCATGGTCTTCCAGTCCATTTTAAATATATGGCCTGATGCATTTAAATAGCACGGCAAACCACCGTACATCTTCATAGAGTGGTGGTGGTGGCTCGTCAATTTAAGCACTCTATTCTAAACATCAGGGTCATGGGATGGATTGAGTCCCACTCGACCTATTGCTGTGATTAGGGCAGCCAAGTGACATCAATATGACGCACACACATACACACACACAACATCTATCTTTGGCTCATTGTTAACAGCTTGTAAATGCAAGTTAATTGTTGAGTAGTCAGTGTAGCATCTTCAGTTACACTATCTCTGGCGTAGGCGTGACATCCGGCTATCATATCAACCAAGGGACGTGTGCACTGTGCTCAGCAGTTCGCTCCATCCTTCTCTATGGCTCTGAAACATGGCCAATACGAGTTCAAGACATGAAAAGGTTGACTGTTTTTGATCATAGATGTCTACGATGATCTCTTTCTCATGTTAGGTGGTATCATAAGGTAAGTAAGTAATGTTAACGTTAGGCGTAAAGTGTTAGACAAAGAGGGAAAATCACTCGAAGAGGCTATAAAGTTACATAGATTGAGATGGCTAGGTGACGTCCTGCGCATGCCTAACCATCGCCTCCCCCTCCCGACGGGCATTACTAGCTGATATATAGGTGCATGTTGGAAAAGAGTAAGTGGTGTCTTGCCAAACAAAAACATGGCCTCATCAATCCACGAAATCCTTGACAGTTAAACTGAGTCAGGTAGGGAGGGAGATGCAGACTTCTGGGTTGGGGCCCACCCTCGGGACTCTAAGAATCAATGGCTGAAGACAGACAATAGGTGACATACATGGCTCAAAATCGTTGTCAGTGGCGCAGATGTATTCAGTCTCTTGTGTAATCTTTCATATTCCTTTCTACCATTACTCATTCTGTTTCACTCTTATACTTGTCCAAACTCTATTGATTCTCTTCACTCATCCATTTTCTTGTCTACCTTTGTGTGTTATTTGGAACGTGGCAACTGGAACTGCTGCACTTCGGTGGCAAGTTCTATGTTGAATCCAGCCAGCCAGCCATCTTCAGTTCAAAAGAATTTATTTATATTAATTAAAACACAAATTCGGTACCCATTACGGACACTAAGAAATGAACCAAAGTAAAAATCTCATAGTCTGTGCCAGGCCTGGGATACTACTTGGATGACCACCAGACCAAAGAAAGCGGATGGATGGTTGTCTTATTTCGACCACCCTCCTTCAGACAGTCTCTGACTTGAAGTTTACTACTAATCCACAAAAAACAGTGGAGCAGTGACCAAAGCTAGTTCACATACACCATCCGATTCGCTTGGATTCTGGAGCCCATCTACACCACAGATTTTTTGAATTAGGGTTTTCCAGATCTCCTAGGAAGACCTGCATGTTCACCAGTCCGATCTTAGGTGCCAGACGTGCCAGCCACGCCCTTTCACTTTTGTGAGGAACACCAACCCCCTCACCAACCGAATGAAGGCAGTGATGAATAGGACTTATTTGGCGGAGGATATGGACGCGTAACCACATGAAAGCGTTTCGATAGGAAGACAGAAATCCTCCCCCCACCTTCGATCCTATTATATATATATCCAAACCAAGTTCACTTTTAACAGTTTGAAAAAATTTGGGCATTGGATGGTATTTGATATTCATTATAATAAAGGTTTTTGTATTTCCCAATGAATGAATGAAAAACAAAACGATATTATTGTTGCTCCTACTGACGTTTCGCTATTTAATGCTACTGCTAATAGCTTTATCAAAGTAGTATTATTAAACTAGAATTTACAAAATCTCAGCATATATATAACAAAGAGTTAGGAGGTGAGAAAATAGACTCCTTAGGTCAAGTTAAAAGGACCTATCTCCCAGAATCCAGTTTACTTCGGAATCAGGGAGAATCAGATGTCGGTGAACTACCATTTCTAGACTGCATGACTAGAGGAGGGAAAACGGACATTTTAGCATATCCATAATCAGGAAGAAAACCCAACACTCCAACAACAAATATTTAGACTTCAGATCATCACACCCCATCAGCGTAAAGATATCAGCTGTTTCAAGTTTTCTTAGACGAGCTCACTCTCTGATGTTAACAGGTGAGAAAGAAAAAGCGGAAGAAGAAATATCAAACAGTAATGAAACTGTACTCGAGCAAAACAACCACCCAACGAACTTCATCAACAAATCAGCACTGACATTAAGAATGGTCGAAAACGCATTCCGAAAACATGGATGGACCTCAACAGTTGTCATTCCATATAGAGCAGAGATGTCAGATGATATCAGAAGAGTTCTCAATCAGCTCGACATCAGAGTTTTCTTCAAAACATCAGAAACACGCGAAACAACCTTGTCCATATAAAAGACCAAATCCCTAAAGATTCTCTATCTACCAATTGTGTCTATAAAACAAAATGCTTGCTTGGAATGTGATGCGATATACATCAAACAAACATCGTCAGAGAGAAATCAAAATCAGAAGAAATGAACACCGTAGGGCAGACCATCTGTTCGACCACCAAGAAATAAACTCAGCCAGCCATAGGTCGTCTACACGCTACGCTACGCTATAGAATCAGGTTGGCCACAAAATTGATTTTGACAATATTTGAAATCGTCATCCAGAAAGAGGCATTTCAGAAATCACAAGGAACATCTCATATCTCATATAGTTAAATATCAGTTACACTATCAGCTCATTATAGATTATGAAAAAAGAAGTACACACCACTTACAAATTATGATCTACGTAAGGTTTATCATCGCCGACAGCACGTGTAACAACTGGAACTTTCGGTTTCGCTGACATAGCACTCCGTTTCAATTGATCTCTTTCACGACAGACAATTTGTAGTCGACTTTCTGTTTCTGCTAAACGCTGAGAAAACTCTGAGGTTAGAGTGGATACATCTGCTGGCCCAGAGCCTTGTGTAGCTAAAGTATTTTTCAATTGCCTACACAGAGAAAGAAAACGGCGAAAAAAAGCAACCATTGATATAAGAATAAAACTTGTGCACTGTGGCGGTAGAGTGTAATTCCATTATGGGTAAATTTTATTTTGATAGAGTCTCACAGTGTTATACAGTAATATTTACTGATGACGTTTCGAGCACAATTTATTGCTGCTCATAATTATATCAAGGTAATCATACGACTTCCTAAATTCATTTATACAGTTCCATTGTTTTTCACTTGATTTGATTGATAGTAGTATTTTCCTACATAGGCTCTCAGATGTCCCCACTAGTGTTTATAGAAAACCAACGCATTCTAATAGATATTTACTTTTTCATTCATCTCATCCTTTAACTTTTAAGGTAGGCTTAGTGAAGTGTTTAACAAACCGAGCCATAGCACTAAGTAGCACAAAAAAAGACCTAAATGATGAAATAAAACAGATAGAAGAGGCGTTGGTGTTAAATAACTGTCCTCTAAAATTCATTAGGAAGATCAGTGAAGGCCAAAAGCAAAATAAAAATAATTGTGAAACTAGTAATGATAACACAAATAAGAGAGAATATAAGTCATCCACTGTTATACCAAATAAGGAAGGGACATCTGAGACCCTACGTAGGATTCTAAATAAAGCAGGAATTAGGGTGGTGGCATTTAAACCTACAAACTCACTCAGGTAGGACAAGCTCTGTAGGTTAAAGGACCCAGTGGACCCAATTAGACAAAATAATATAATTTACAAAATACCCTGCAATGACTGTGAGTTAAGTCAACTACATAGGTCAAACTAGTAGATCGGGCGGGGGTAGTCAGATTGTCAGAACATAAGAATTTAGCTAAGGTAATAATGGTTGACCCAGAGAAGATAAGTAATTTAGAAAAAAGCTCGGCAATTGCAATGCATGCATTAGCACACAATTACACAATAGCATGGTGGGAGAGGGTTTAAATTCTAAAAAGTAATCTAGGTAGGTGGAGAGAGAGGTTGATTACTGAATCCTGACTGGTTCATCGAATCTACACCCAACACATGCAATAGGAATGAATCATCACTCATACCTGAAATATGGAAAATGTTACTACCAATCAAATCAAGCGGAAATCAAGTGAAAAACAATGGAACTATATAAATGAATTTAGGAAGTCGTGTGATTACCTTGATATGATTATGAGCAATAAATTGTGCTCGAAACGTCATCAGTAAATATTACTGTATAACACTGTGAGACTCTATCAAAATAAAATTTACCCATAACGAAAAAAGCAAGTTGAGCAATCTAATGAATAATTGAATATTCAAGTGTTGGTTTGTAGGGATTTGATTGATTGGTTACAGGATTTTCATCATGAGCTGACATTAGTTAGAGAACCATTGGAAAACCTGGGAGTACTGGACAGCTGTTTCCCCTGTCCTAGTTTGAGACTCTTCAGCAGTGCGCACCCACCGGGATTCGAACCCAGCACCTTCTGGTTACAAGGCGAGCTAGCTCGTAGACCATTGAGTCACTGGGACGCGATTCAATGGTCCATGAATTCTTACTTCTGCCAATTCATGATATAGCGCAACCGCTAGCCAATGTCTTCGGCGAGTATTTGTCATCACGCCCGACCTGCTGCACCCTACTGGTCACGACTTCTCACGAATAATTGAATATAATCCGTAGAATTTTCAATAGGTAACAGAGAGACAGCTAATACCTCGATAGATCGTAATAAAGCTGGCTGGACAAAATGAAACGATACACACTCACTACCTTTACAGTAATACTATGGGTCACATTCTGCCAAGATCGAATATATTTGAAAAAGAGAAGACGTTAAGCGAAGAGACTCCTCTTTTCACCGGCGAATTCATTCATATAGCTAGCTGTACAATCGCATTTATATATAATTATTTGTGTGTGTGTACATGAGGTTTGTCAAGTTTAGATAATCAGGTAATCAGGTAGGTGATACAAGAATGATCTGATATAGAAACAAGGTTAGTGATGATATTAGATGATTGGAGGCAATCGGCAAGAAGCCTTGGACCTAGGTTCCGTGCTAGTTGGCACTCACCAGTCAGTAAGGCGTATCTGCAACCTTGAAGGAACTCATGTCCCTTCTGAGATTCGAACCCGCGTCACCCAGTGCTGCAGTCAGAGACGTCAGAGACTCGCCTTGCTGACGAGTGCCAACTAGCACGAAACCTAGGTCCAAGGCTTCCTGCCGATTGCCTCCAATCATCTCATATCATCACAAACAATGTACACCGTGATGGCGAGCTACCTAGAATGGTGGTCACATTACAACCTGACTGATAGAATTCAGTCTGCACCAAAGGGAGGACTAAACGCATCACACTAGTTACTAGTGTCAAATCAAAAGAAAGATGGTTAATTAGGCAGCAACTAAAGTAAGATTGAGTTAGTTAGTAAGTTAGATGACGACGTAATAGAATTGACTGAAATGTTTCAACTTAAGTCAGGGTAGCAGCAGAGGTAATTACAGGTAGAGAGAGACTAAGTAGAAGTGGGGTAGCAAATAATGCCATTTAAATTAGAACTGAAATTGAGCAAATAAGTTGGATGACGTAACACAAATGACTAGAAATTGAGCGTTGGTCAAGTCAGTAATAGTGGTAATGAGGTGCAGAAATTAAATCGGGTGGGGGTAGGGAACAAGAAGGTTGAAAAGGTAGAACATTACAATTGAGAAGACAAAATAATAATAATACTGAAGAGACAGAAGAGAAAAAGATTAGGTAGAATTTACCCGTCGGGTGATAAGATAGATTAATAGTCCATTGCGCAAGTGTAGTGATTGAACCAACTTCTTCTGGATGCAGAGTTCACTGCTTAGCAAGTGAATCGCCGTTGCTTCTGCAGTTTGAAGAAGTCTGAGGATTCGTACACCTTTAGGAAGACTACTTCTTATTCTGTAGACGACTTTGAAGTTTATTTGTGGTGTAGCTTGGTGTCAGGATTCTATCAGATGTTCTAAGATGGAACTGCGGGGGCATCGACTTTCTCCTTTGTAAAGCCATGTTGGTAAGTGTTCTGTGATACGTTTGGAAAGCGAACGTTGCTTCACCTGCTCCACACGAGCAGGTGAATTGATAAATACACATTGATGGGGCCAGCAGTGTTAGCTTATCCTTCACGTTCACATAAATCATAGGTTTTGTGGAGAAGGTTAGTCGTAGTTCAGCTGCGAAGAAGATCTTCTTAAGTGAGCGCGATAGTCGATTTTTTAGTGTTTCCGCAGATTTATCTCCATTGAATTGAAGGTTCATGTAGAGTAGTTTTTTCGGGACGCTAAGCATGGGTGGCTTTTGTGGTCTAGGATTCATAGATTTTGCAATAAATCTTTCTGGATAACAATTCTCGACGAGGATTCTCTTGAGATTGTCCAGTTCATCTTCTGTGGTGTCCGTGGTGCAAATTCTGCGAACTCTGTAGATGAGTGAACGAATCAGGTTTGGCTTTCCTAAATCACTTAATACAAGTTCAATAGAGGTATGTTTAATTGAATTTGAGATTTTTCTGTCGATTGATTGATTGTACCGAAGTGTTCGGTCTCAAGTTGAAATGTCTGTTGGCTTCTTGTGCAGATGCTTCGACGATGTCTGGGCATTTAATTGGAATTTAATTGGTGGATGGTGACTAGCAGTGGAACCCAGTTCACGATAACTCGCATTTCACCGGTCCTATTTGGGACTCGTGGTCAGTTGGCTGGCTGGATGTACCTGCATTCCCCAGTGAGTCAGTGAGTGATAATGTTCCCACCATGGAGGCTCGAACCCAGTGCTCATAGTTTCAAGTACCAGCAGCCAAAGCGTTATCCACTAGACCACTTGGGCCACGAGAGCAACCTCTTGTGCAACGGGTCACACTGCTAATCACCATCCACCAATTAAATTATAATTAAATGCCCAGACATCGTCATGTTGAAGTATCTGCACAAGAAGCCAACAGACATGTCAACCTCAGACCGAAAACTTCGGTCCGGTTAGTCGGTCGGTTTTCGACATAGAACCACTTTGCACATATGTGCACTAGTTCAAGTCGCCACACTCCCTCCTTGGAGCACACAAAGAAAGAGAAAGTAGAAGAAATGCATAATATAGACAGTAAACAGAGGTGTGATAAGACAAAGGAATAGTAATAACGAAGAACAATATAGTTTCATTGGAAATCATAAGTAAGTCACAAGGAGTGGATGCATTTGCGCCAGCCAGCGATATCACCAACTGTTTCCAGCCTTCATTTGTTTTTACCGTCTCGAGGACCCCAAACAGTCAGGAAGTCTACACGTTCCTACGTGGCTGGCTGGCTTAAACTAACTTTTGGATTTCATTGACTAGTGAAGGCATGTTTTCGTTTGACCGCCGTTAGCTCTTTTCCAGCCTGACCCTATATCAGCTACCATTGTCGAGGAAGGCGATGACTAGGCATACGTAGCACATGTCCTAACCATCTCAGTCGATGTAATTTCACAGTCTCGTCTATTGATTTCCCCGCCTTACGCACTTCGGTCTAATCAATCAACGGACGAGAAAATCTAAAATTCAATTACATTAACATGACCCGTTGGAAAAGAAGTGAGGTGGGTGGCTCTCGTGGCCCAAGTGGTCTAGTGGATAACGCTTTGGCTGCTGGTGTTTGAAACTATGGGCACTGGGTTCGGGCCTCCATGGTGGGAAAATCATCACTGACTCACTGGGAAATGCAGGTACATCCAGCCAAATAGGACCGGTGAAATGCGCGTTATCCTTGCCTGGATTCTGTCAGTGCTAGTCACCATCCACCAATTCAATTACATAAAAGTAGTTCACCATTTTCAAGTGTGCTTAAGGAATATCTGTATGTCTGGTTATTACACCTCCTAGTTCAGGTTAGAGACATTTTTGAAGTGGATTTGATAGACATTCCCACTGAGAAGTAAGAGGGTTGAAATTCACACATTTTCGACTGAGTTACAGACAGCTTGCAATTATAAAAGTTATACAAAGAATATACAATGAAAGGTGAGAGTGTTGTAAAACTATAAGAGAATCCCCAACCGAAAGAAGAGAATAACAAATGCCCTGAAAACAACATTCTCTGTTGTTACATAATAATAATAATTATTATTATTATTATTATTATTAGTAGTAGTAGTAGTAGTAGTAATATCATTATTATTATTTCCTTTAATTCCTAGTGAAACATAGGGCTTCAACTACACGTCTCCACTTGCCTCTGTCTTCTGCTGTACTTTTCACTTGGGACATCCAACCTCACACGTGACATCTGGACGGACGTTACTGCTCCAGTACTCCCTGGTTTTCAATGCTTCTCTAACTGATATCAATCCGTGATCAACTCGTAAAACCAAAACTAACCCTTACAAACCAAACTATAGAGAAATTTAATCTGATACTCGCTGGTAAGTGACTTGCTACAGGATAGAGTTTCCTGGAGTCAGTCAGTTCTAGTGAGAAGTCGTGACCAGTGAGGTGGTGGTCCATCCAGATGTTGTCACGTGTGAGGATGGATGTCCCACTGACGACATTGGTTGGTGCCAGTTGCGCTAAATAACGAATTGGTAGAAGTTAGAATTCATGAATTGGCCATTGAATTGGATACCAGTGATTGGCTGAATGGTATACGAGCGAGCTAACTTGCCTAGTAACCGGAAGGTCCTGGATTCGAACCCCCCCGGTGCAGTGGTGGGTGCGTACTGCCGATGATTCCCAAACTAGGCTGATGAAACAGCTAGCTGCCTGTCCAGTACTCCCTGTGGCTGGTTTTCAATGCTACTCTAACTCATCGATATCAATCCGTGATCAACTCGTAAAAGCAAAACTAACCCTTAAAAAACCAAAACTATAGAAAATCTTCGGTATACTTTGCATTGCCGAAGCCTTGGCGATTCGGATGGAAAACCTTGATTCATGTACACACAATAAACTCTGCTCCATCATCTCCCGCTTCTATCTTATGGCTATAAAATTCCAAGTTCAGCTAATACCAATATATTTTGTTATAAATACTATTTCGTGCATTTTCTATATGACATTTAGTAACATTAGTTCTATCAGTTCACCTGATCCTCTCTTGTGGAACAAGGTACATTGACCGTAGTCAGAGGACACCGCTTTCCACCGCACGGATACGAGAAAATGTTCATAACAACAGCATGGTTTTACAAGGAAGAAAGGAAGTGTGTGCGTAACTCTTTTCTAGAACACCTGATCGACTTCTGTGTCACTCCACACCAACCCTGACCATGATTTAAACATCATATACAGAATCCATCGGTGTAACTTCACAACCTCTTCGATTGATTTCCTCCTCCTTATCTAGCACTCAACCGACGGCGGAGCGGACTACTGAGCAGTACATACGCCTTTTGGTCCACAGCCAGCCGGTCAGCCGAATATCACGTCTACTAAGCCACAGAGAGATGGCGTAAGTTGGCATATGCGAGACGAGCCTTATGTATCAGCGATCAACCTGTTGGCACTGACTGATGCAACTCCCCGAATCAGTGAAGTGGTCAATACGCTGTACCACTTCACTCCGTACCACCTCTAAGCTAGGAGTGAGTCAATGTAGTCCAGTCGTCGTCTAGCACCATCTTACATGTGACAGGAGCAACTCAGGGTGTTCTGAAGACTCTGCTTTATTTTGTCAGCGTCTTCACCTAGGAGTGAGGACTATATCGTCCGCATATTCCAAGTCAACGAGATTATTCCCTGGTGGTAGTAACAAGTCAGTCCCTGAGTGTCTGAAGTCAGCAGTTAGGATGAAGTCCATTAGTACAATATCTATGATGAAATTAAACAGAAACGGGGACAGTGGGCATCTATCTGTTAGACGGATACCACTGGTTGTGACCACACAGTTGTCAGATGACAACTCTCATGGGTCTCTCACCTGGCTGCCTGACTGCACGAGTTCGAGTAGAGTGAGTGCCTTGATCAGTACAATGTATGTATTTCCTCAGCATTCCCTTCACAGCCAAGCATCGCCATAGTACCTGTCGGCGGACAGAATCGAACATCGCAGCATTTAGACCAAGAAATATGACGACTGCTGGACACCGACGGTAAGTATGCCGAAGGTTCCAGAATCTGTCGAAGGGTGAAGATATGGTCAATGCAGCCAGCCTCTTCCTGGTCTAAAACCTGCCTGGTTCTCTCGTGTTTGTTTCTTTCTCCGGTGCACTACTTAGTCAACGCATTATTACTGAGCCTAGGACTTTAGATACCATATTGGTCAAGCTAATCCCCCTGTGATTATCACAGGAAAACTTGTCCCCCTTCTTGTATATCGGGATAATCAATGACTTGCACCAGTCCGACGGGACAATTTCTGATTCCCAGACGCTGTCTAATACCCTAGTTAATGCAGACGGTGAACTGTCTCCACCATCCTTGAACACTTTTGGATAGATTCCATTAGGTTCCACTGCTTTGCCTCGTTTCAGACCTGTGATGGCTTTTGTAACCTCAGTTAGGAACGGAGGACCTGTGTTCTTTTCGCATTCACGGAGGTGTTGGATGTTGGGTAAGTTAAGCGTGAATGTAGGCCAATTAAATTGCTCCTCAAAGTGTTCTTTCCAACATTCTACTTGTCTATCCTGTGAGCTAATTGTGGTGCCATTTTTCTCAGAGATTGTTTCACTTATCATTTGACTTTTCCCACCTGTTCTCCTGATAAGTCTAAATAGTTGTCTGGTGTTACCAATCGCCGATACCTTCTCCATGTCTTTCGTTTTTGTCACCCACCACTGTTCACGGTGGGTCGTTTCAGAGGCTTCTTGTTAGTTTGCATTTGAGCATCCTTTCGCTCCTCCACATAATCGGAGCTCTCCGTAATCAGTCTTCTTGCGTGCATTGATCAGTTCGGATGAGGTAGTTGAAATCCACTGGCTCTCATTAACTTTTGGTTTTAGGTCAATAACGGTCGGTCAGTTTTCGACATAGAACTTTGCACCAATGTGCACCAGTTCAAGTCGCCACACTCCCTCCTTGGAGCACACAAAACAAGAGAAGAAAGTAGAAGAAATGCATAATAATATAGACAGTAAACAGAGGTGTGAGACAAAGGAATAGTAATAACGAAGAACAATATAGTTTCATTGGAAATCATAAGTCACAAGGAATGGATGCATCTGCCCCAGCCACCCATTGAGAACGATTTTGAGCCATGTCACCAACTGTTTCCAACCATTGGGTTTTACCATCCCGAGGACCCCAAACCAGTCAGGAAGTCAGTCTACACCTTCCTACGTGGCTTAGACTAACTGTTGTGGATTTCATTGACTGGTGCCATGTTTTGGTTTGACCGCCGCTAGCTCTTTTCCAGCCTGACCCTATGCAGCCAGCTAACATTGCCCGTCAGTCGAGGAAGGCGATGACCAGGCATGTATGCGTAACACATGTCCTAACCATCTCAGTCGATGTAATTTCACAGTCTCGTCGACTGATTTCCCCTCACTCCTTACCTAGCACTCGACCAACGCCTAACCTCAATATTGCTCACCTTATTATACCACTTCACACGGGAGATAGAACGCAGACACCTATGATCGAAGACAGCTAATCTTTTCATGTCTTCCACTCTCAATGGCCAGGTCTCACAGCTGACCATAAAGGAAGACGGAGCGGACTGTTGAGCAGTACACACGCCCTTTGATCGATAGTCGGATATCACGTCTACTAAGCCAGAGACGGCGTAAACTGGTTGGCATATGCGAAACTAGCCCTGTGTATCCGTACTCAGCTGAGATTTCGTCAGCGATGAGATCAACCCGTTGGCACTGGCTGATGGTACTTCCCAAATAAGTGAAGCGGTCAACGTGCTCCATCAACCACTTCACTTCCTATTTCTAATCTAGGGGTCGGTGAAGTCCAATCCTGCAGGTCAATAACAGCCTTTACAACTGTGTTTACAGCCAACTAACTGTAATGTTGTGCTAGGTTTCCTCAGAAGGAGTCTTGCTGTCGTCGACCTCAGATATTCAGAAGACATAATCAACTTATGTCTTATAAAAATAGTATTAAGGTTGGGGCATAAAATTCTAGCTAGGTGGAGGGAGGGGAAGTTAGTCGATAAGGTTGCGAAGCTATACTGATTGAGATAGTTAGGACACGTGCTACATATGCGCTAAGCATATACACTAATCAAAGATAATTGGGGTTCCAGTGCACACACACACAAATAACACACTCTGGTTAAAAAGAAAAGACCATTTGAGCAAGCGAGAACACATCAGACATGACAATAATATATAAAAGAAGAAGAAGAGTTTTGGCAATCGACGTACTCTTGTAGTGTATTGATTGAACTCTGTAACACATTGTTCTCATGACTCAATTGCATAATTTTTGCTTCACGAACATTCAGCAGTTGTTTAACATCGGAAAATTTCTACACAAAATTAGGAGAAAAAAAAAACAAGTTGAAGAGAGCGAGAAAATTTTAAAAAATTATGTTTTAATCATAAGTGTGTTGTCTATATTCACTTGTCTACTTGTGTCTACTAACGCAGGAGTAATATACAAAGAGGTGGAGTAAAAACAACAATGACTGTGCACTTACTTGCATATATGTAAAAACCCCAAGTTCACTTTTAACAGTTTGTTTATTGTGTTTTCTAATTCCTAGAGGAACATAGGGCTTCTTCAGCCGCTCACGTCTCCATGGCGTTCGTTCGGTTCTCACCTGGCTCCACGTCTGCTCACATGTTTTCATCTCCTCCTCTTCACATGACCTCCCCTCCAAGTCACCCTCACCCTTGCACTGACGACCAACTCGCCGATTCCCATTCAGTCGGGTTCCACTCGAGCAATGGCTTGTCTAGTGATGTCACTCACTTGATGGTTTGTTTTCTCAGAGTATGGCCACAATCCAATCCACCTCCTCCATTTCTTCCTGCTTATTTGTTGCACAATCGGTTCCTGCTGTGTTGGTTCGCTCATTGCCAGAGATCCCACAATGTTGCTGATCTTTTCTGGAGATCTGATCTTGAATATTGAGCGAAGACTAGCTGTTGATGAAGGTCTGTATTTTTTGTGAGGTGCTCTTCATGACGCACTGGCCAAGTCTCTGATCCGTATAACAAGTAGCACCGACTGACTTCACATTGAAGTTGAAAATCCGGATCTCAATTTCATTTTCATGCTGAGTGCTGAGTGTTGACCTCCACACTGACTTGAGAGTAATGAAAACTTGTCTCGCTTTCCCGATCCTCGTTGCTTTGATATCCTCGTCAGTTCCGTCCGCCTGTAGTTGAGACGATGCTTCCCAGGTAGGTAGGTAGGTAAAGGAGGTTGTTCCTTTCAGGTTCCTCCCATTTATGCTGGCTGACTGTTTTCTGTTGTTGTTGTTGTTCTTGCTGTTGGTGTTGTCCAGGAAGCTTCATCACCTCTGTTTTCTTTATGTTCACCTGAATTCATATCTTCTGGGGATGCTTCTTCTGCCAACCTGTTGCTTTTCGCTTGCATATCTTTCAGTTTGTGGGAAATCAGACATATATAATCGGCGAAGTTCAGATCCTTCAAGTTGTTTTTGTGTGGGTCTATTTTATGCCTGTTTCCTCGCTGCCCTGCCCGCTGTCTATCGCATTATCCAATCTACTGCAATCACGAAAATCATTGGCGATAGTAGGCAGCCACCTTGTCCTACTCCCGTCTTCACTTCGAAGGATTCCGTGAGTTTCCAGTTGTGGATTACTTGGCATGCAGCATTATCGTACAACTGTTGGATGAGATAATTTATTTATTTTTTTATTCTTATTTTTTTTAATTTTTGGTTACAACTTGATGCCACACTGTATTTTCAGTACAAGTGTGGAATTTTCAGCATGGATATCGGTAGCCCAAATTTTGCAGGCCGACCATAGATATCGGGTGTGCGTCGGCAGGGGATCGAACCTCGGACCATGTGCATGGTCGGCGAGAGTCCTAACCACTGTGCCACCGACGCACAGGTTTTTGTATTTTTGTATTTCCCAATGAATTGAAAACAAAACGATATTATTGTTTTTACTGACGTTTCGATATTTAATGAAAATAGCTTTATCAAAGTATTATTATTAAACCAGAATTTACAAAGTCCACTCAGCATATATATAACAAAGAGTTAAGACGTGAGAAAGTAGACTACTTAGGTTAAGTTAAAAGGACCTATCTCCCGGAATCCAGTTCACTTCGGAAGCAGAATCAGACGTTGGTGAACTACCATTTCTAGACTACCTCGCTAGTTAAGAGAAGGGAAAACGGACATTTTAGTATATCCATATTCAGGAAGAAAACCCACTCCAATAAATATTTAGACTTCAAGTCATCACACCCCATCAGCGCAAAGATATCAGTTGTTTCAAGTCTTCTTAGACAACCACACTCTCTGATGTTAACGGATGAGAAAGAAAAAGTGGAAGAAGAAATATCAAACATTACTGAAACTCTCCTCAAGCAAAACAACTACCCAACGAACTTCATCAACAAAATCAACACTGACATTTAAGCATGGTCGAAAACGCATTCCGAAAACATGGACATCAACAGTTGTCATTCCATATAGAGTAGAGACGTCTCGTCAGACGATATCAGAAGAGTACTCAATCAGCTCGACATTAGAGTTTTCTTCAAAACATCAGACAGGCACACTGCGAAACAACCATGTCCATATAAAAGACCAAATCCCTAAAGATTCTCTATCTACCAATTGTGCCTATAAAATAAAATGAAATGCTTGCATGGAATATGATGCGATATACATCGGACAACCATCGCCAGAGAGAAATCAAGGTAATCAGAAGAAATGAACACCGTAGAGCAGAGCATCTGTTCGACCACCAAGAAATAAATCCAGTTAATGAAGCTTCAAAAATCCCCAGCCATAGGTCGTCTACACGCTACGCTATAGAATCAGGCCACAAAATTGATTTTGACAATATTGAAATAATCCAGAAATCACAAAGAACGTCTTGACAATGAAAAATGACCCCAGACTGACGAACGATGATCAAATTAGTAAACTTAGCTAAATTCTTAAGTTCTGACAATCTGACTATCCCCGATCTGTTAGTCTGTTTCACCTATGTAGCTGACCTGACTCACAGTCATTGCAGGGTATTTGGTCAATAATATTATTTTGTCTAATTGGGTCAACCGACAGCGTCTTTTAACCTACACAGCTTGTTGTACCTGAGTGAGTTTGTAGGTTTGAATGCCACCAGCCTAATTCCTGCTTTGTTATTAAGAATTCTACGTAGGGAGTGTCTCAAATGTCCCCTCCTTATATGGTATAACTGCTGTAGATGCCTTTTATTCTCTCTTATTTATGTGATCATTATTAGTCTCTCCATTATTTTTATTTTGCTTTTCACTTTTTCTGATCTTCCTAACGAATTTTATAGGATAGTTAGTTAGTTAGTTAGTTAACACCAACGCTTCTTCTTCTGTCTGTTTTATTTCACCATTTAGGTCTTTTCATGTGGTACTTAGTGCTACTGCTCGGTTTGTTAGACACTTAACTAAGCCTGCCTTAACAGACAGATAACGACGGATGAGGTGATGAATTAAAGTCTAAATATCTATTAGCAGAATGCGTTGCTTTATTATAAATGCCGCTAGTGTGCAGTTTACCTTATATTCCAATATCTAATCGGTTCGACGCATGTATATAAATGAAGTAAAATGTTGTGTGAGTGACTTGATGTGATTATGAATGCCAACAGTTTGTGCTCGAAACGTGGTCATCAGTTAATATTACTGTACAGTACAACACTGTGTGACAGTTTATCAAAATAAAATCTTATTCATAATGATCAGTACATTCTGAAATCTAGTGGTTTTGGATTTTCAAACCCGCTTCGTCTCACCGCCAGCGACCACGATTTGCTTCAATGAATGAACTTTTGAAAGGGTGATAAAGAACCCTTTGTACCGGTGCTTATTAGTAATAAACTAGTGCCTTTGAAAGCGTCGATTGAGAGGTGATTTGGAAACTACTTCGCTACTACGGGTGCCACCGACAATAATACATCTCATCCAACAGCTATACGACAATGCCGCATGCCAAGTAATCCACAATGGGAAACTTACGGAACCCTTCGAAGTAAAGACTGGAGTAAGACAAGGCTGCCTACTATCACCAATGATTTTCTTGATTGCAGTAGACTGGATAATGGGACAAACAGTGGACAATGAGGAAACAGGCATAAAATGGACCAACACAAAAAACTTGGAGGATCTGGACTTCGCCGATGATATATGTCTGATTTCCCACAAACTGGAAGATATGCAAGCGAAGAGCAACAAGTTAGCAGAAGAAGCATCAAGCACGAGGAACTTCAGGTGAACATAGATAAAACAGAGGTGATGAAAATTCCTGGGCAACACCACCAACAGCAACAACAACAACTGACAACAATCAGCCAGCATAAATGGGAGGAACCTGAAAGAAACAACCTCTTTCTCCTACCTGGGGAGCATCGTTTCAACTACAGGCGGATGGAACTGATGAGGATATCAAAGCAAGGATCGGAAAAGCAAGACAAGCTTTCATTACTCTCAAGTCTGTGTGGAGCACAAAAACACTCAGCATCAAAAATAAGATCCTGATTTTCAAATCCAACGTGAAGTCAGTCGGTGCTACTTGCTCTACGGATCAGAGACTTGGCTAGCGCGTCATAAAGAGCATCTCAAACTAACTACAGACCTTCATCAACAGCTAGTTGTCTTCGCTCAATACTCAAGATCAGATGACCAGAAAAGATCAGCAACAGGGATCTTTGGGAACGAATCAACCAGGAACCGATTGTGAAACAAATAGGTAGAAAGAAATGGAGATGGATTGGCCATACTCTTAGGAAACCATCAAATGACATCACTAGACAAGCCCTTGAGTGGAACCCGAAAGGGAAGCGGCGAGTTGGTCGTCCAAGGGTGACTTGGAGGAGGTGATGTGAAGAGGAGATGAAAACGTGTGGGCAGACTTGGAGCCAGGTGAAGACCCTAGGAGAGAACCGAACGCAATGGAGACGCACGGCTGAAGCCCTATGTTCCTGTAGGAATTAAAGGATACAATAATAATTATAATAATAATAATAATAATAATTAGTACAAGTTTGGCATTATGTACAGGTGGTGGTTCAAGGCACAGTCATCACCGTAGAACACCAGTCTAACCAGACATAATTTTGCATACAGGGTAAAATTCAAAACAGACTATACACTTGTTAGGTGTCAAAATTGAACACACAAACAAACAACAATAAATATTAAAGCCGGAATTGGCAGAATTAACACCACCAGTCAACTAACCTTGGCAAGGTGATGATAAGCGAATGTCAAGTCATCGTCAATAGTATGTTTTAAACCTTTAGGGATAAAGTAAAGTAAAGTAAAAACAGAAAAACGAGTCTCATTGATAGTTTAAAAAAAGTGAATATTTTTTTCGTGGCAAAAATATGATGTTATGAGGTGAATTTTGAAAAGAAAACGTTGACTAGTATATAGAAGAAGAAACCAGTTGAAATTGTAAAAAAAAACCAAGAATGCCAGATGACTAACACACAATTACCAACGGAGGATACTCAACACCACTTTCTTTACACACGTTACTTTACTCAACAACCGCATACATACGTGGTAAAACCAATTGACAATGAGTTATACATGCTATGCGACTGGTCAATCGTAATGAGGTCGAACCATGGTAGTAGATTATTAGTTGTGTAACAACAGAAGACAAGGGCCAGTCAACAGATCGTTTATTAAGGAAATCAACAGATATTTATCGATTTTCATGTACATATATTATTATCGATTATTGTTAGCAGACAAACACAGTCTTCTGATTGGTTGTTTCTCTTTGTGGCTGTTTCTTGAAGGTCAGATCATCTATCTATCTGCTAATTGTATCCGCCTACGCAAACAAAGTTTGCTGTGATTGGTTGTTGAGTAGTCAGTCTTTGTTCTTGTTTTTTTCACATGACCAATAATATTTGGGACATAAACATTGACGTAAATTACTGTCTACCAATTTCGCCTAGCAGACAGCTCTCACCACAATAGTAGTGATAACAATAATCTGTTATTTCTACAGTGGTCTGCTTATATATATGCCACAAGCTAATGTAATGAACGCCTTCGTGTCAACACACCAGACGATGCGAATGCTCCATTCTAGTATCTAGAGTCAAAAACCGGTTCGAAGCATTAGTAAACAAACAAAAAAATAAGAAAAGAACTTGAGACTATGTTTAGTGTGTAGCGCATGTTTATACTTAGCCGCGCACACGTAGAGCTTGACACATACTTCCTTCATCTGACGATGGAATTGGATCCCGTCGACTGAAAACTGCTGTGGGAATGACTAACCATGAAGCTGAATAACGAGAAAGTATATCGCACTGAACAGGTTTGATGAAGATATTATCACCAATGATATTCCTAATTGTGGTGGACTGGATTAGGCGTCAGACAGTGGGAAACGAGAAGACAGGGATATCCTGCACCAACGTGAAGAACCTAGAAGACCTGGATTTCGCGCGTGGATGATTTATGTTTGATGTCACACAAGATCGAAGACTTACAAGCGAAAACCGACAAACTGGTCGAAGAAGCAGCAAAGACAGGACTCCAGGTGAACATAGACAAGACACGGAGGTTATGAAAATATCCAACCAGCATCAACAACAACAACAGAAACATCCAGCTACAATCACCATCAACGGGAGGGATTTGAAAGAGGTTACTTCTTTCACTTATCTAGCTAGGGAGCATTGTCTCAACTACAGGAGGAACGGATAAGGATGTCAAATCGAGAATCGGGAAGGTGAGAAACACATTCATCAACCTGAAACCAATCTGGAAATCTTCGTCACTCAGCCTGCATCAACAACAAAATGATTCGGATTTTCAATACAAACGTCAAGTCAATTTTGCTTTACGGATCAGAAACTTGGCGGTGGGTTACAAAGAATATTTTCAACAGGTTGCAGACCTTTATCAACAACAACAACTGTCTTCACTGGCTCTATACTGAAGATCAGATGGCCGGAAAGAACAAGAACTAACAAGAAACTATGGGAACAAACAAACAAAACAAGAACCAATCGGCCAACATATATGCAGGAGAAAGTGGAGATGGATTGGACACTCGCTGAGGAGGCCACTGGGTGACATCGCGCGTCAGGCCATCGCTCGAGTGGAAGACGAAAAGGAAGCGGCGAGTAGTGGGACGTCCAAGGGTGACATGGAGGAGATCGTGTGAAGAGGAGTTGAAGCAGTATGGACTAACATGGATGCAGGTGAAAAGTACAGCAGAAGACAGAGGCAAGTGGGGGCGTGCAGTTGAAGCCCTATGTTCCACTAGGAACCCAAGGGAACAATAAGTAATAATAATAATGTCATCTAAATTGATGATAACCATTTAATGGCCGTCAATGATACTCAATAATTTCATAGTAGAGATGTAGTAGTAGTAATTGATGTGACCCTAATCGATAGTCTCGTCGACCTTGTGTATATACTACATATGATATAGTCTTTCTAAGAGAACACAGACACTGAGAAAAAAGAAGTGCATCCCTCTGGCACACAGACTGAGCATGACCTCCGCCCTGCTTAATATGTAAGACTGTGCTGCAGGACTCGCGTTTAAATCTACTTTTAGTCTAAGGATGTAATGATGATGTAAAATGGATGAGAGCGTATTGACCACTGAGACTCCACTGACTTGGAAAGATGCACCTGGTCTATTGGTGGTAGACCGATTTCCACTCTCTACGGTCATCTGATCTTCAGTATGGAACGAAGGTGGCTGCACTGTTGGTGAGAGTCTGCAGCCTGTTGAAATTATTACTTTCTTTTGACGCGCCAAGTTTCTGTGATCCACAAGCAAACACTGGCTTGACACTAGTGTGTGTTAAAAAAAAAAACTAGAGATCATATTCCTTGTGCTGCTAAGTTATGTGGAACTTCACACTGATCTCTAAGTAATGTAATGATTACCTGTCGTGATTTCCAAATCCTTGCTGGCTTTAACATCCTCATCAACATGCAGCTAAATGTGTTTGCAAGGATGCGGCCTAGGTAGGTAGGTAGGTGAAGGGGACGACTTCCTCTGTGGTGAGAGCTGTCTCCTAGTCGAAATTGGTAGACAGTAATTTACATCAATGTTGTTGATATCCCAAATATTATTGGTCATGAGAAAACAAGAACAAAGACTGACTGACTCAACCAACAACCAATCACAGAACACTTTCTCCGCGTAGGCGGATACAAATTGCAGATAGACGATCTGACATTGAAGAAACAGCCACAAAGAGATGAAAGATTAACTAACGTTCAGTGAGAAACAACCACCAATCAGAAGACTGTGTTTGTCTACTAACAATAATCTATAATAATGTACATGAAAATCTATAAATATGTGTTGATTCGGTAAATAAACGATCTGTGTGGCTAGCCGTTGTCTTCTGTTGTTACACCTCTAGGTTTCTTCCACTGATGGTCAGGTGTTTTCATCATGTACGTATTCTCTTTTTTCACCAGAACTCATTTAAATATTCTCACCTCTTCAGCCAAAATGTTGTTTTTCTCCTTCGAGTTTGTGTGACATGAAACATAAACCACGTATGCACGAAATTCAGGTCCTCTGGAATCGCTTTTTTCTCAGCCTGACTTATGTGCGCTCATCCTACAACACCACCCCATACCAGAACAGCCTGTTACATCAGTCAATTCATGACAACCGGGAAGATATTTTAATTGAATTTGAGATTTTCCCGTCGATTGATTGATTGGACCGAAGTGCTACTCGGTCTCAGGTTGACATGTCTGTTGGCTTCTTGTGCAGATGCTTCGACAACGTCTGGGTATGTAGTTAGAATTTAATTGGTGGATGGTGACTAGCAGTGGAATCCATTTCAGGATAACGTGCATTTCGTCCTATTTGGGACTCGTCAACTGGATGTACCCGCATTTTCCAGTGAGTCAGTGATGATGTTCCTCGTACGCACGCTCGAACCCAATGCCCATAGTTTCAGACACTAGTCAAAGCGTTATCCACTGGACCACTTTGGCCACGAAAGCCACTGCCTCTTGTGTAAGTAGTCATGTTAATTTAATTGAATTTTAGATTTTCCCACAGATTGACTGGACCGAGTGGTCTACTGGATAACGCTTTGGCTGCTGGTGTTTGAAACTATGGTTGTAACAACAGAAGACAAGGGCCAGGCGACAGATCAGTTTTATTACGAAAACCAACAGGTATTTATATGTTTTTTACGTACATTAATAAGGCTCTGCCCGCAGAAATAAGGCGGTCCTCTGATTGGTTGTTTGCAAACAAAACGCAGTCTTCTGCTTTCTCGTTTTCGATATTTCTCGGAAATGCGAGCCACTTGTCTGCGAATCATATTTGTCCACGTCTAGGTCAGCTGTGATCGGTTGTTGAATCAGCCTAGATTAATTTCCACCAATCAGCGTAGATCAATGTCCACCAATTGGCTAGCAGCTTGCTCTCACCACATGGTCACTGGGTTCGAGCCTCGGTGGGCTGGGTGTGTACTGATGAAGAGTCCCAAACTAGGCAGACGAAACAGTTGACTGTTCAGTACTCCCTGGTTGGTTTTCCAGTGGTTCTCTAACCAATGTCGTCAGCTCATAATGAAATCCTCCATCCAATAAAATCTTTCCCCGAAGCCAAAATCTCTTTCCCATTTTGGTTTAGACACAATCCACATTTCTAGACATTGAGAAAATATGTTACTACTACGACTATACTAAAGGCGGGCCTTATGAAAACATACAACAGCATCTATGTTGACTAACAACAAAAAAGAGAGGCCAGTTATTTATAAAAACATTCAACTTACCCATAGATAAATTTTGAGATGCACTCATAGACCGGCGACGGTCAGGACGATTTGGGCTGAAGAATGGAAGGAAAAAAAAGGAATAAAGAGAGAACCATGTTACCAAAAAGCGGAAAGAAATAAAAAAACAATAACAATAAACTAAGCATAAACTTGAGTGACAACATTCTATAAAATATAGCTCGATAGTGCCAGAATATGTTCTTGTTATAACTACATGTGTGTGTATTATTATTATTGTTCCCTTGGGTTCCTAGTGGAACATAGGGCTTCAACTGCACGTCTCCACTTGCTTCTGTCTTCTGCTGTTCTTTTCACTTGCGTCCATGTTATTCCATACTGTTTCATCTCCTCCTCACACGATCTCCTCCATGTCACCCTTGGACGTCCCACTCGCCGCTTCCCTTTCGGGTTCCACTCGATTGCCTGACGCGCGATGTCACTCAACGGCCTTCTCAGCGAGTGTCCAATCCATCTCCACTTCCTCCTGCATATTTGTTGGGCGATTGGTTCCTGTTTCGTTTGTTCCCATAGCTTCTTGTTTGTGATTCTTTCTGGCCATCTAATCTTCAGTATGGAGCGAAGACAGTTGTTGATAAAGGTCTGCAACCTGTTGAAAATATTCTTGGTGACCCGCCAAGTTTCTGATCCGTAAAGCAAAATTGACTTGACGTTTGTATTGAAAATCCGAATCATTTTGTTGTTGATGCAGGCTGAGTGACGAAGATTTCCAGATTGGTTTCAGGTTGATGAATGTGTTTCTCGCCTTCCCGATTCTCGATTTGACATCCTCGTCCGTTCCTCCTGTGGTTGAGACAATGCTCCCTAGCTAGATAAGTGAAAGAAGTAACCTCTTTCAAATCCCTCCCATTGATGGTGATTGGCACTGGATGTTGCTGCTGTTGTTGTTGTTGTTGGTTGGTTATTTTCATAACCTCCGTGTCTTGTCTATGTTCACCTGGAGTCCTGTCTTTGCTGCTTCTTCGACCAGTTTTTCGGTTTTTGCTTGTAAGTCTTCGATTTTGTGTGACATCAAACATAAATCACCCACGCGCGAAATCCAGGTCTTCTAGGTTCTTCACGTCGGTCCAGGATATCCCCGTTTTCTCGTTTCCCACTGTCTGACGACGCATAATCCAGTCCACCACAATTAGGAATATCATTGGTGATAATAAGCACCCTTGTCTGACTCCTGTGTTTACTCCAAACGCTTCGCTGAGTTTTCCGTTGTGGATCACTTGACATGTGCCGTTGTCGTACAGTTGTTGAATAAGGTTGATGAATATTTGCGGTACATGTGTGTGTGGTCAATTGTTATTATTGTTCCCTTGGGTTCCAAGTGGAACATAGGGCTTCAACTGCACGTCTCCACTTGCTTCTGTCTTGTGCTGTACTTTTCACCTGCATCCATGTTAGTCCACACTGTTTCAACTCTTCTTCACACAATCTCCTCCATGTCACCCTCGGACGTCCCACTACTCGCCGCTTCCCTTTCGGTTTCCACTCGAGCGATCACCTGACGCGCGATGTCACCCAGTGGCCTCCTCAGCGAGTGTCCAATCCATCTCCACTTTCTCCTGCATATTTGTTGGGCGATTGGTTCTTGTTCTTTCCGGCCATATTATCATCAGTATAGAGCGAAGACAGTTGTTGTTGTTGATAAAGGTCTGCAACAGGCTGTTGGAAATATTCTTTGTGACCCGCCACCAAGTTTCTGATCCATACGTATAGAAGAACTGACTGACTTGACGTTTGTATTGAAAATCCGAATCATTTTGTTGTTGATGCTGATGCTGAGTGACGAAGATTTGCAGATTGGTTTCAGGTTGATGAATGTGTTTCTCGCCTTCCCGATTCAATTGGTAAAAGAAAATTTTGCTGCAACATTCAAAGTTTTCGATGATGCCTGTTGTCGCTCATTGACTTCCGCCGTCAGATAAGAAGCAGTAATGGTCAGTAATGCTGGAACCGAATATAAAATGTTAGGCACAGAAGGTAAGCTCAACTGAGGTGAATGGAGCAAATGAGTTTTGCTGTGACACTAGTCAATGTCTTCACATCACAAAAAGTAATCCAAACAAAAGTAGAATTCCATATTAGTTTATTTATATTAGATGCGTCGGTGGCACAGCGGTTAGGACTCTCGCCGACCTTGCGCACATGGTCCAGGGTTCGATCCCCTGCCGACGCACACCTGATATCAATGATCGGCCGGCAAAATTTAGGCTACCGATATCGCATGCTGAAAATTCCATACTTGTACCAAAAATACGGTGTGGTTTCAAGCTATAATCAAAATTTAAAAATTTAAAAAAATAAAATAAATCACACAGTCACTGAAACAGTATTAGTATTTACTAGATGACAAAGATTCGAACAAAATTTTTTATTGTTCATAATCATTTCATCAATTATAGTCACACGACTTCGAAACTTGAGTTTTATAGTTTTCTTTCTCCTCTCCTATTTGTCGTCGTCATTGGGGAAGTAGTAGAATTTTCCAGATATCTGGCTGGACAGGTGTTGAATCATTCCTATTACACGTGTTGATTTGCAGTTGATTCGATAAACAAAGCTTCCGTTGTTATCAATCTCTCCCTCCATCCAACCAGCTGTGACATTAGATTTGAAAACTGTCACCTTGTAGCAACAGAAGACAAGGGCCACGCAACAGATCGTTTATTAAGGAAATCAAAGCATATTTATATATTTTCATGTACATTACTATAGATTAGTTAAGCAAACAAACAGTCTTCCGATTGGTTGTTTCTCACTTAAAGTTAATCTTTCATCTCTTTGTGACTGTTTCTTGAATGTCAAATCATCTATATGTTAACTGTATCCGCCTACGCAAAGTCTGCTGTGGTCGGTTTTTGAATCAGTCTTGTTCATATTTTCTCACGACCAATCTCGAGAACGTAAACATTGACGTCAGTTGCTGTCTACCAATTCGGCTAGTAGACAGCTCTCACTACAATTGATATGATTATGAATAATAAATTTTGTTCGAAACGTCATCCAGTAAATAATACTGTTTCACTGTGTGATATATCTAATAAACAAACTAATATGGAATTACTTATCTTATCCCATCCAGCCTATTGTATGGTTGTGTGTAATTGCATGTAGTGCTTGCGATAGCTGCTGAACCATTTTCTAGATTTCTTATCTTATTCGGGTCAACTAATCTACATTATGCTGCTAGGTTTGTATGCTGCTCGGCTAGTCTGACTCACTGACTGACCCTGTTCTACTAGTTTCACCTATGTATTTGACCTGACAATCATCGGAGGCAGCGTATTAGGTAAACTAAATTGTTTTGCCGGTTAAAGGCTCCACTGGCAGGATTGATCCTTTAACCGACAAAGCTTGTTTCTAATTGAGTTTTAGTGGGGAGGGTTTGAATTCCAGCCACTTTTATTCCTTCCTGCCAGCATTGTTAAGAATTCTGCGTAAGGTGGGTGGTTTCCGAGGTTCCTTCCTTGTATGGAATTACTACTGATGATTTAGATTCCTTATTGTCGGTGTTGTCATTATCAAACTAGTAGAACAGGGTCAGTGATTCAGACTAGCCGAGCAGCATAAAAACCTGGCAGCAAAATCTAGATTGGTTGACCGGAATAAGATAAGAAATCTAGAGGATACTTCAGCTATACCACTCACTACATGCAATCAGCAGAGTGGATGGAGGGAGAGATTGATAACAACGGAAACTTTGTTTATCGAATCAACTGCAAATCAACACGTGTAATAGGAATGATTCAACACCTGTCCAGCCAGATATCTGGAAATTTCTACTACCACGCCCAATGACGACGACAAATAGTAGAGGACAAAGAAAACTATAAAACTCAAGTTTCGACGTCGTGTGACTGATTATAATTGGTGATGTGTATGATTATGAACAGTAATAATGAATTTTTTTCGAAACAACTTTGTCATCCAGTAAATACTAATACTGTTTCACTCACTGACTGTGTGTGATACATCTAATAAACAAACTAATATGGAAGATTACAAATAAACACTTAAAAAACTTACTACTTGCTCAAACCAACCGGAGCACTAAATCCCCTCATGGTGGTATGCTTTGGAGATAAAACTGGATGTTGACTCCCATTACTAGATCTTGCTGCCTTAACCGATTGCATCATAATCATTGACATATTGGAAGGAATTATTGCACCGTGAACTTCACCGCCAACACCACCACCATTTGTAGAAGTAGAACAAGAAATCACTTCAATATCTGATCCTGTAGTGTTCGTATCATCGCGATCTTCATCTAAACAAATTGGTCGTTGAGTAGTTAGTGGAAGTACTTCTTCACCAGGTGAAGTACACTGCACAAATCTCATGTCTTCAACTGATAGCGACCTTTGAGTTGACGGATGCATGTTTGTTGTATCAACGTCGAGTGTTGTTGATTTTACTGAAGTATTGTCGTCTGGAGAAGTTGTCATTGGTGATGATGATGATACACTGGAATCATGTTCAACAAGAGTAGGTGAGTCCTGTTGTTCATCAATAGTAGGAGACGCTTCGATGGTTATAGAATCAATATTTGAAGGCGGGGGCGGAGAATTGATTTGACTTGAATTTAAAAGCTAAAAAATAAAACAAGATTTTCAAAATTTTAAAACTGATAAGTAAACTTTTGGGCGAAAAATGTTGTACATTTGAGATATCATGCACTAATACTACTACAATGAAGTTTAATTGAATTTTAGATTTTCCCGTCGATCGATTGGACTGAAGTGCGCGGTCTCAGGTTGACATGTCTGTTGGCTTCTTGTGCAGATGCTTCAACATGACGATGTCTGGGCACTTAATTAGAATTTAATTAGTGGATGGTGACTAGCAGTGGAATCCAGTACAGGATAACACGCATTTCGTCCTATTTGGGACTCATCATCCGGATGTACCTGCACTTCCCGGTGAGTGATGAAGCCAACATGTCAACCTGAGACCGAGCACTTCGGTCCAATCAATCAATGGACGGGAAAATCGAAAATTCATTTAAATAATTAATATGACCCATTGCACAAGAAGTGGGGTCGTGGCCCAAGTGGTCTAGTGGATAACGCTTTGGCTGCTGGTGTTTGAAACTATAAGCAATGGGTTCGAGCCTCGGTGGTGGGGACATCATCATCACTGACTCACTGGGAAATGCAGGTACATCCAGCCAACTGACGAGTCCCAAATAGGACAAAATGCGCGTTATCGTGGATTCTGCTGCTAGTCACCATCCACCAATTACAATGAAGTTTGTTTATTGCTATTTTGTAGAAGAATTCGTCTAGTACCTGAGAGAATGATTGGAAATAAAGGAATGAGTAGGGTTCTTACATAGATAAGAGGGATTTAACAAAAACAAGAGAAACTGTTGACAAATTACGGTTTCTTCTACATAGATTCATTTTAATGCAAGCAAGCATGAAGGTTTAGATCATTGTGGCGTATTTGCAGCTAGTAGATTTCAGTTTCGAATTCTCCTGTCGAATACTTCAGACTAGGGCAGTTAGACAGGATCATCAACTCTCATACAATAAGTGTAGTTAGCATAGTTTGATACGATGGTCAATCTCTGACGAAGTCTCAGTACGGATACAGAGGGCTAGTTTCGCATATCTTAGTTTACGCCATCTCTGTCGTAGACGTGATATCCAGTTGGCTATCGACCAAAGGGCCGCTGTACTGCTCATCAGTCCGCTCCGTCCTCCTTTATGGGTGGCTGGCTGTGAGACCTGTCCATTGAGAGTGGAGGACATGAAAAGATTAGCTGTCTTCGATCATAGGTGTCTGCTTTCTATCTCCCGTGTGAAGTGGTATAATAAGGTGAGCAATATTGAGGTTAGGCGTCGGTCGAGTGCTAGATAGGTGGGGGGGGGGGGGAATCAATCGACGAGGCTGTGAAATTACATCGACTGAGTGAGATGGTTAGGACATGTGTTACGCATGCATGACTAGTCATCGCCTTCCTCGACAATGGGAAATGTTACCTGACCTAGGATTGGTCAGGCTGGAAAAGAGCTAGCGGCGGTCAAACCAAAACATGGCTTCACCAGTCAATGAAATCCACAACAGTCAGTTTAATCCAGCCAGCCATGTAGGAAGGTGTAGACTTCCTGACTGGTTGTGGTCCTCGGGACGGTAAAAACCAATGAAGGCTGGAAACAAGTGGTGATATGGCTGTCTCAAAATCCTTCCCAATGGCTGGTTGGCGCAGATGCATCCACTCCATGTGACTTACTTATGATTTCCAATGAAACTATATTGTTCTTCGTTATTACTTTTCCTTTGTCTCACCACACCTCTGTTTACTGTCTCTATTACCCATTTCTCCTACTTTCTTCTCTTGCTTTGTGTGGTACATGGAGTGTGGTGACTTGAACTGGTGCACATCGGTGCAAATTTCTATGACGAAAACAGACAGAGTCCGATACATGTAAAAATAAAGACCCAACAAACTGGCTAATGCAAATACGGTAGGGGCCTCGGCTTTAGGGAATGCACCAAATGAAAAATGCAACAACAGCATACAGAGAAGAAAGTCAAAGAATTGAAAAATCACTACATTTGTAATTTCAGTTGTTAGGTAAGTGTGTTTGACACCTAAATCAAGACAACTGATACGTTATGGTAAAACAAAATAATCTCGTGTATGCTCAAGATAGAATAGTGTTTCTTCTGCACAATCTCCATGCACCACTTTCACAAAGAAGACTTCCGAACAAGTTCAATCCGTCCCGAAGAAGATACCTTTGCGTAATCTAGAATTCAAAGGTGACATTCAAGCAGAAATCCTTCGTAAACGTCACTGAAAATCTCTGAGGAAGACATACTTCGCCACGAGCCTACGACTAACGATTTCCTGCAAGAAACTGTTCAGTCAGAACGCAAAAGACAAGCTGTTGCATTGTGCCACTTCAACGTGCATATACCAGTTTACTTGCTCTCTGGCGGAGCTGACTGAGTACATCGGCCGTACCATGCGCCAACTTGAAAAACGCGCTCGTGAACACTATCCAGCCTGGCTAGTAAAAGGAGAACGAAAACGTGTGTATATAGTTCAGTGACAGAACATCTGGTCAATTCAGGACATTCAGTGCCATTCGAAAAATCCTTCAAAATAATATACAAGATTCGATCAAACCTATCAAAGGGAGTAAAATTAAGACATCTGGGCATAGCCGAGGCACTAGCTATCCAAAAGCTCAAACCCACGCTTTGTATCCAAAAGAAATACGTCCAACCCTTGTCCCTGCCATGGCCATCATAAACAGGTAATTCTTCTAATAGTGACTATCCCATTGCCTTTCTTATCCAAACTTCCTGTTTATTCATGTCATTTTTAGGTTTTTTTAATCCCCCTCCTATTTACACTACCATATTTTCATATCCGAACTTCCTGTCTATTTTGTTATTTTATTATTTCTACACATTTAATCCCTGATTGCATAAACAATTATTCATCACATTAGTTATGATCCCACTAGATTTTGTTATCCAAACATCCTGTCTATCTATTGTTGTTATTTCTGCATCTCTAACCCCCAATTGCACAATCAATGTCAATCTTCTCAGTAATTATGATGCTACTTTGTTTGAGTGATTTTTGATTCATCCTACTGTTTATTATGTCATTTTAATTCCTAATTGTAATTTTTATTAATGTGACCCTTGACCAGAAATTATTCTGGAACTTTCCCATCCATTTGATATAAATACACGAATGCACAGCTGTCTTGTCGTTGATGACTTCGTCGAAAAGAAAAGCTTTTCTTCCTCCCTGAGCACTGTCTTCTTAATGATAGAAAATAAACAAATTGGATCATAGGAATTATTAAAAAGATGGTTGCAGCAAGGAAGAAAAGCTTTTCTTTTCGACGAAGTCATCATCTAGGCTGTACATTCGTGTATTTATATCAAATGTGTGAGAAAGTTCCAGAATAATTTCCGGTTAAGGGTCAAATTAATAAAAATTACAATTAGGAATTAAAATGACCTTATAAACAGGGTAGTGGGACGGATAAAGCTCAGACAAAGTAGCATCATAACTACTGAGAAGATTGGCATTGATTGTGCAATTGGGGGTTAGAAATGTAGAAATAACAAAAATAGATACACAGGATGTTTGGATAAAAAACTAATATGACGAATAATTGTTTATGCAATCAGGGATTAAATATGTAGAAACAGTAAAATGACAAAATAAACAGGAGGAGTGGATATGAAAATATGGTAGTGTAGACAGGGATTAAGAAAAACTTAAAATAACATGAATAAACAGGAAGTTTAGATAAGAAGGGCGATGAGATATTCATTACTAAAAACATTTTACCCGTTTATGATGGCCATGGCAGGGACAGGGGTTGGACATATTTCTTTTGGATACAAAGCGTGGGTTTGAGCTTTTGGATTGCTAGCGCCTCAGCTATGCCCAGATGTCTTGATTTGACTCCTTTTGATAGGTTTGATCAAATCTTGTATATTACTTTGAAGGATTTTTCGAAAGGCGCTGAATGTCCTGAGTTTTGGTGTTTTTCCTCTTGTCTTCTATTTCAGATTGACATGCTTCTAAAGGGTAAATAGTAATAACAAGAGGAATCGATTCCTACATATACGTAATACCTAATTGTCTGTGATAGAGAACACCCACTAACTCAGTCAGTCATATATCTATAATATAGGCTTTTTAACTACCTCTCAACACATTATATTCCATAGGCACCTTTGCCTCCTTCCAGACCTTTTGCAATATGTTGTGCAATTAGGGGTTAGAAATGTAGAAATAACAACAATAGATAGACAGGATGTTTGGATAAAAGAAATCTAGTGGGATCATAACTAATGTGATGAATAACTGTTTATGCATTCAGGGATTAAATATGTAGAAATAATAAAATGACAAAATGGACAGGAAGTTGGGATATAAAAATATGGTAGTGTAAATAGGAGGGATTAAGAAAAACCTAAAATAACATGAATAAACAGGAAGTTTGGATAAGAAAGTCAATGGGATGGTCATTACTAAAAGAATTACCTGTTTAGGATGGCCACGGCAGGAACAAGAGTTGTACATAGCGTGGGTTTGATCTTTTAGATAGCTAGTGCCTCAGCTATACCCAGATGTCTTAATTTCACAACCCTTTGATAGGTTTGATAGAACACTGTATATCATTTTGAAGGATTTCTCGAAAGGTGCTGAATGTCTTGAGTTGACCAGATGTTCTGTCACTGGACTATATACAAACGTTTTTGATCTCTTTTTACTAGCCAGGCTGGATAGTGTTCACGAGCGCGTTTTTCAAGTAAGTTGGCGAATGGTACGGCCGATGTACTCAGCTCCACAAGAGCAAGTAAACTGGTATATGCACGTTGGAGAGGGTAAATAATAATCAGTATTTGGATTTCCTGTGCCAATAAATGTGCATAAATTAATATACCCATATTGTTGTGGAAGCATTTGAGGACCCACTGAGCCGATGAACAGGCCAAGTTTAAGAACTGTAAGCACCACTAACTACCAATAATGGAGTTCGACCGCACCAATGACCTTGAAAAAAGCTCACTGAGCAAGTTAGTGGAATTCCGGCAAATAGTAATGTAATGTCATCATCAATCAACTATACTCATCGAAATATTATGTTATTAAAGAGGATATCTAGCAAGTTTCAGCCTACCGACTTATCAGCAGCAGCGCCAGAACCAGCACCGGCAGCTTCAGACTTCATAACTTGACACTTTTCATCATCATCATCATGGAGATTCCTCGTGAAATCCTCTTCTAATTGCTGGTTATCAGTCGACTTCTCCATAGGGTCAAACGGAAACGAATAAGAGTTGGTTATTAACTCATCTGAAAGGCAGGAAACGCTCTCGGAACAACTGTCATTAACAACAATGCATTCCGATTCAGCTGAAATCAGAACACATACACACACACACACAAAAAAAGTTTAGAAGTAAGTAAAACACCAAAAACTAGTTACATTACATTAATATAAGAATTCAAAACTTGGGTACTGTGGTTGTGGTGGAGTATAATTCCATTATGGGTAAATTTTGTTTTGATAAAGCCTCACAGTGTTATACAGTAATGTTTACTGATGACCAAGTTTGGAGCACAATTTATTGCTGCTCATAATCATTTCAAGACACTACTCACACAAATTTCTAACTTCGTTTATATTATTGCATTATTTCTCATCGCACGGCTTGATTGATAGTAGTATTCTCCATATTTCCGATATGAGTGATGAGTCATTCCAACTGCATGTAGACTCGATGAACCAGGCAGGATTCAGTAATCAACCTCTCTCTCTCTGTCTCCACCGACATAGATTACTTTTTAGAATCTAAACCCGCTCCCACCATGCTATTGTGCGGTTGAGTGCTAATGCATGCATGCAGTGCAATGTAGTGCTGAGCTTTTTTCTTCCTAAATTACTTATCTTCTCGGGTGGGGTCAACCATTCTTACCTTAGCTTAATTCTTATATTCTGACAATCTGATTAACCCCGATCTACTAGTCTGTTTCACTTATGTAGTTGGCTTTTAATAAAGTTTAATTCTACTCCAAAAACATGGTGGAGATATGTGGAGGACACTTTCACAGTGTTGAAAACAGAACATATCTCTAGCTTCTTGACACATATTAACTCACTAGTAGAGGGAATAAAATTCACATTTGAATCGGAAAATGAAGAAGGAGAATTAGCTGTGATGTTCGATTGTAAAATAAAACGAATAGAAGAAGGTAAACTGCACACTATTGCTTATAAAAAACCAACGCATTCTGCTAATAGATATTTAGACTTTAATTCATCTCATCCGTTAACTGTTAAGGCAGGTTTAGTTAAGTGTCTAACAAACCGAGCAGTAGCACAAGAAAACACCTAAATGATGAAATAAAACAGACAGAAGAAGAAGCATTGGTGTCAAATAACTAACTATCCTATAAAATTCATTAGGAAGATCGAAAAAGGTCAAAAGCAAAACAGAAATAATTGTGAAACTAGTAACGATAACATAAATAAGAGAGAATATGAGTCATCTACGGCAGTTATACCATATAAGAAGGGGATATCTGAGACCCTCGCTGCGTAGGATTCTGAATGAGGCAGGAATTAGGCTGGTGGCATTCAAACCTACAAACTCACTCAGGTAGGACAAGTTCTGTAGGCTAAAAGACCTTGTGGACCCTACTAAACAAAATAATACAATTTACAGAATACCCTGCAATGACTGTGAGTTCAACTGCATAGGTCAAACTAGTAGATCGGGGGTAGTCAGATTGTCAGAACATAAGAATTTAGCTAAGGTAAGAATGGTTGACCCCACCCGAGAAGATAAGTAAATTAGAAAAACTAACTTAGCACCACATTGCACTTCATGCATTAACACACAACCACACAATAGCATGGTGGGTGGGAGAGGGTTACGATTCTAAGATGTAATCTATGGCCGTGGAGAAAGAGAGAGAGGTTGATTATTGGATCCTTGTTCATCGAGTCTACACCCAACACGTGGAATAGGAATGACTCATCACTCATACCGGAAATATGGAAAATAGTACTACTACTACCAATCAAGTCAAGCGATGAAAAATAATGATGGAATTATATAAACGAAGTTAGAAAGTTGTGTGTGAGTAGTGCCTTGATATGATTAGGAGTGGCAATAGTGGAAATTGTGCTCGAAACGTACGTGGTCGCATCAGTAAACATTACTGTATAACAACAACACTGTGAGACAGTTTATCAAAACAAATTTTACCCATCATGGAACTAGTTACATATCAAAAGTAACATTAATAAGATTGATGAGCCAAAAAGGACATGAGTTACTGTGTGTTTACTTTCCTATTCTTTCCAAATAAGATGATCACACTTGACTACTACTCAGTGCATTTCATAGCATTGTACTACCGTACCCAATATTTAGAAAAAAAATAGGAGCTCCAGGTACATTAATATATGCGTCATTTTCCGAGATTATGGTGCCTGGGACATTATTCACCACACATGAAAGCTATCATCACGCATAACTTCCAAAAAGCTCGGGCTGCTTTCGCTAACCATCCGACTACCAACCAAGGGACGTGTGTACTGCTCAGCAGTTCGCTCCGTCCTTCTCTATGGTTCTGAAAAATGACCAATGCGAGTTGAAGACATGAAAAGGTTGACTGTTTTTGATCATAGATATCTACGATCTCTTTCTCACGTTAGGTGGAATAATAAGGTAAGCAATGTTGACGTTCGGTTAGGCGTAGAGCGTTGGGCAAAGAGGGAAAATCAATACACAAGGTTATAAAGGGACATAGATTAAAATGGCTAGGTCACGTGCTCCGCATGTCTAACCATCGTCTCTCCCGACCGACCAGCATTACTAGCTGATATAGGTGCAGGTTGGAAAAGAGTAAGTGGTGCCATGCCAAACAAAAACATGGCCTCATCAATCCATGAAATCCTTGACAGTTAAACTGAGTCAGGTAGGGAGGGAGATGCAGACTCCTTCCGGGTTGGAGCCCGCCCTCGGGACTCTAAGAATCAATGGTTGGAGACAGACAATAGGTGACATGGCTCACACTCATCGTTGTCAATGGGCTTACGCAGATGTATTCAGTCTCTTGTGTAATCTTTCATATTCCTTTCCACCATTACTCATTCTGTTTCACTCTTATACTTGTCAAAAGTCTATTGGTTCTCTTCACTCATTTTCTTATCTACCTTTGTGTGCTATTTGGAACGTGGCAACTCGAACAGCTGCACTTCGGTGGCAAGTTCTATGTTGAATCCAGCCAGCCAGCATACGCATAACTTAAGCAGACTACGAACCCGCCTCCGGAGGTTCATCAGAGATTAAATGTGGATGAATTCGACAAAATCGCTCGTTATCTATGAGATCTTGTCAATCTTATCAAGTTCCGCATTTCTAACAGCATGGTGAGGACCTTGATTAAATTGACCCCAATTGATCACTCACCCATTTAATAAATATTCATTCAAATATTCGAGTGCCCTCAGAATTTCGCCCCTGAATGACTCTAACTGGGAGTTTCGGTTATATTTCACTGACTATACATACACGGGATGACGACGCAACAATTATAAGCGATTCATATTTCGCCATACATATATCGACATAAACTGGCCAATACCTTCGCGCCTCAGAAACCTTTTTTTTCCTATCCAGTATAAACGTTCGTTCCCTAGTGAAATTCCTGTTTTGAAATGGCCCGTAAAATATACACAACCTACACATTTAGTGGATGAGCTACAATAACATGCATTCAGATTTACTGGCTAATCGTCCGTTAGTCTATAAAAGACGACATCGCATGTCACAATAACGCAGAGCTCACGTTGTAACCAGAAAGCCTTTGGTTCGAGTCCCATCTGCCTGTCTGTCAGTTTTTCGACATAGAACTTTGCACCGATGTGCGACAGTTCAAGTCGCCACACTCCCTCCATGTAGCACACAAAGCAACAGAAGAAAGTAGGAGAAATGCATAATAATATAGACAGTAAACAGAAGTGTGAGACAAACGTATGGTAATAACGGAGAACGAAACAGTTTAATTGGAAGTCATAAGTCACAAGGAGTGGATGCATCTGCGCCACTGAGAACGATTTTGAGCCATGTCACCAATTGTTTCCAGCCTCCATTGGTTTTTACCGTCCCCAGGACCCTAACCACGAAGTCTACACCTTCCTACGTGGCTTAGACTGCCTGTTATAGATTTCATTGACTGGTGCCATGTTTTCGTTTGACCGCCGCTAGCTATTTTTCCGCCTGGCCCTATATCAGCTAACATTGCCCGTCGAGGAAGGCGATGACTAGGCATACGTAGCACATGTCCTAACTATCTCAGTCGATATAATTTCACAGTCTCGTCTATTGATTTCCCCGCCTTACCTAGCACTAGACGCCTAACTTCAATATTGCTCACCTTATTATACCACTTCTTACAGGAGATAGAACGCAGACACCTGTGATCGAAGACAGCTAATCTTTTCATGTCTTCTGCTCTCAATGGCCAGGTCTCACAGCCATTAAGGAGGACGGAGCGGACTGATGAGCAGTACACACGCCCTTTGGTCGATAGTCGGATATCACGTCTACTAAGCCAGAGACGGCGTAAACTGGCACATGCGAAACTAGCCCTCTGTATTTGTGCTGAGATTTTGTCAGAGATTAAACCCATTGGGGTTGATAGTACTTCCCAAGTAAGTGAAGTGGCAGATGAGTACCGATGAAGAAGGCAATAGACACCATGAAGAAACAGCAATCCAGTACTCCTCGGGTTTTCAACCTCGTCTAGTTCATCAGCTCGCTGGATTTCTAGTCGGGGTCCCAAGACTGGGTAAAGGGGGCAGGGTCGAGAATCCAGCTAGCTAGCGATCATACACACCAAAAAATTAATCAAACACTGCTACACCAACTTCATTCAACGCACAAGAAAAAGGTATTCAAAAATACAAAAATTTCAAATAACGGCAATCTTAGTCTTCGCTGGAATCAGAGAGGCGAGACGACACAGTGGGCTGACGAGAGCCTTCGGGAAGCAAGTAAGCCAGCCGATGTGTCTTTTCTCGATGAAAGCAAAAATAGGAATGGTGATGTGAAACGTACGTACATATTGTAAGAAGCCGGCTGCGAAAGCTGTTCAGGTAGACAAACAAATGAAAAGATATGGTAGGGAAGTGCTCGAAATCTGTAAGAACAGACAGAATTGATGTGAACCGTTAAAACTGTCAACTGGAGAGTCAGTAATCTACTCCGAACACCCAAGAAGACGACAACAGCCACGAGCACACTGAGGCAGTGAGTGGCTATCATGATGTCACCGATAGTAGCCAAAGCAGTGGGAACCAATCACCTCGTGCAGGATCATGACCACAAGATTCAACTCAA